TGATGTGACTTAGGCTTTTCCATAATAATCTGAAGATCAACAATCACACAATTCTCATGAAACCTAAGTAACGGGATTATTAAAGGTATAATGCAAGGTGGCCTTTTAATAAGACCTGGCAGTCTATACAGTGTGTAGGAGCCATTTTTTGCCTTCTTGGAAAGTTACTTGTGTTTTCTTGAGATGTGCACCCTCTGCAGAACAGGAGAAGATTTAAGGTCTGAGTGTGTCTACTGGACTGTGGCCTGCTGGGTTTCAGTAGCTACCCAGGTAAGTGTGCGATTAGTTTGAGCAAACGGGCTCAAGAAGGTGAATTGGTTTTTAGCAGGCTTCATCACCATGGTAAATTACGCTACACGTGTAACCTGCTCCGTTTTATTCTAGGTTAGAGATCGCAGACCAAAACTGGACCAATCAGCTATGAGTAAAGTGGCATGCATCTATGCAATAAAGACACTCCCCCTGTATCTGCTCCAAATTAAAGCAGTTTAGAGTGAAAGAATTTAATTTGGATCTTTTTTCTGATAATTAATTCTTTTATTTACACTATATGAATTGTAATTATATAATTCATATATGGCAATACTTCATACAATAATTGACTTTGTACATATATATGTACATACATATAATTATGTATAAATGCAAGCTTTTAAATATAAGCTTTTAAACAGATTAAGCTTACATGTACTATTCTTTTGTGAAACTTATAAGGCCTGTTTGTTTGATACACTTGTATTGATATTATAGTCTTATATTTTCTTTCAGCTGCCTTTCCAAACTTTTACTGCCATGTAAATTAATTTCAATATTTTTTCATGATCTCTTAATCTTCTGCAGTCAAGTGAATTGTGCCGGCTCTCTCGCAAAAAGAAAATCAATCTGAATCCTCATGTTTGGTGTGATTGGCTGTTTGCCTTCAAAGTTAATTGCAAACCCTGGATTAAAACAGAGTTTTAACAGAGTGTTGTGAGCCTGTTGAACCTGATCTAAACCAGGTTGAATTTATATGGATTTTTCAGCTCTGAACCTAATCCAAGTTTATTCAAATTAGTTATTTCAAATAGCTTCATGCAACAGACCTCTGGTCTTTAGACTTTGCCTTCTGTTTGTTTGTTTTTCAAAGGAAAACTTTAACCATCTTGTCTTTTGAGATATTGAATGACCCGAGACATTTCTTGACCATTCTTTGTAATGTAAATAGTAAATAATGTAAATAGATATTCATTTAAAACATAACATACCCCTTCTCCCGATGACGGTCTCTCTGAGGGTGCCACCTTTTAAGCAGAATCCACTCATCACAAGATAATGACTCTGGATCTAATACACAAAGAAAAATATTTTTGGTAACATGATAACAGGCACTTTATTAAAGAGACTGTTCACCTAAATGAAAATGAATGAAATTCTGTCATCATTTACTCACCCTCAAGTTGTTCCAAACCTGTATGAGTTTCTTTCTCCTGAATGTTGGTAACCAGACAGTAGACTGTATCCAGTGACTTCAACAGTATTTATTTCCCCCTGCTATGGAAGTCAATGGGTGCCGTCAACCATTAGATTACCAACATTCTTCAAAATATCTTCCTTTGTGTTCAACACAAGAAACTCATACAGGTTTGGGACAACCTAAGGGCATCTCAACACATCTGAAATGCTTACTCCTATCTCTGATTTTCTCTTTTGGGGTTGGCCGTCTTCTCATCTGGGCGAAAAGACTCTCGCATTCTTTGCATCTTATGGTATCAACAGGATGACAGGGCGAGCTGGGACCCGATGCCACCATGAGATCAGTACTGGATTCGTCCAACACAGACTCTTCTCGAGATTCAACAGAGCTTTTCGGCCTCAGCCCAGAGTCAGAGGTGTTAGCCATAACCCTTAGCTTTCCTAAAGTGTCCTCAGCCATTGCACCTGGAGCCAGGGTGATCTTCTGAACGGCTCCATATTGCGGTTTCACAATGGAAAGCGGCCTCTCATCTTCTTCACTCAATCGGCACGATGCACCAGCTCTACACTTCTTTATCGGACGCTTCATTTCATGAATAACAGACACATGGTCTTTTATTTCTTCAACACTGTTTGATTGGCTAGAGTCTGTGTCATTTAACACCACAGAGATGCTCTCGTAGACCTTCTCATGTTCTCGCTTTTGCTGTCGACCTCTCTGGGCTGTTTTGCGCCGCAGTTTCATAGAGACAGATTTCTGTATTTCTTCAACACTATTTGGTTGGCTAGAGTCGGTGTCATTTAACACCACAGAGATGCTCTCAGAGACCTCATGTTCTCGCTGTTGCCATCGACCTCTCAGGGCTGTTTTGCGTCGCCGTTTCATAGCGACAGATTTCTGTATTTCTTCAACACTGTCTGATTGGCTTGAGTCAGAGTCCCTCACCACCACAGAGATGCTCTCGGAGACCTTCTCATGTTCTCGCTGTTGCTGTCGACCTCTCAGGGCTGCTTTACGTCGCAGTTTCATAGCGACAGATTTGGTAGTGACCTCACAGAGAACTAAGATATTCACCTGTGATAAAATAAAATCAAATAACAATTTTAACAAACAACAACATATACTGACTGACAATACATTACATGACTTAAAACCTGACTGATTAGGATGATTTCTACCTCACTGTAGCATCCTGACTCTTGTCTTTGAGGAAAGTTAATGAGGTTGTTGTAGCATGCCCTGAAAACATTAATGGTCATCAGTGACAGTATGACTAACTAACGTTAGTCACCAAAAGTTTTTGCTGACTGCAAATCCAAACAACATAAAAGTGGCACATTTGACATAAAAATGACTTAAAAGCTCCTAGGTATAACACCCTTTAACTTAATAGTTTCTGACTGAATATGGTGATTTCTACCTCACTGAACAAAGTTTGGGTGACTAACGTTAACGTTACAAATCCAAACAACATAAAAGTAACTTAGCACATTTGACTAATGCCCCAAACTACAATGTTACTAACGTTACATTGTGTATACAGTAACAATATACTTAAAATGTCTTAAAAGACTAATCGCCTCAACTCGCAAACAAAAGATGCTGCAACTCAGTTCGCGTTCTGATTTAACGTTACTTGATTCTCTCGTGAGGTTTTGGTACAAGCTGAATGACTATAACAATCTAACACATGTTTTACTTTCTCTCTCTCGAAATGTCGAGCTGAATGGCTAGAATAAAAAATCTAACACATTTCTTACTCTCTCTCGAAATGTTGATAGTCCGTTTGTTCTAACATGTCAAGGGACTCCTAAATGGACTGATCCGAAGTGAAAACGCAGCTTTTTGGTTTTGTTTACCTCAGAACTGCAGGGCTGTTGGCGCGCGTTCAGCTGTCATCATCATCAACCGGAAGCTGCAGTTCAGCTCGATCGTCCAGAAGAGGGCGCTGCAGTCTTTGGCTTTTTTTTATATTATGATGGCTTGAGACATACTACTCAAGCCATCATACAGAGAATTTTAAAGATGAAGTTTTTTTAAAAACAAGTGCGTCGTTAGACATGGGCATTCGGGGCTTCAGGATCTTAAAAAAAAAAAAAAAAAAAGATTGATAACTATTATTAAATTGTAATAATTTATTGTTTATTTTAAAAAATATACCGGGCATTCTAATCTTTACTTCGGAACCATGTATTAAAGATGATAAAAATGTTCAAGCAGATCAAAGTTACTATGGTTACACAGCACGCTTGAGTTTAGATTGCCCAGAGGGGAGAGAGAGAGAGAGAGAGAGAGAGAGAGAGAGAGAGAGAGAGAGAGAGAGAGAGAGAGAGAGAGAGAGAGAGAGAGAGAGAGAGAGAGAGAGAGAGAGAGAGAGAGAGAGAGAGAGAGAGAGAATGAAGAAGCTGAGTATGAAGCTGCAGACTCGGAGACCTGCTACTTAGTACTAACAGTCCCCCTGCACCCAGAGTCCCGTATTCTCAGACCCCTCGTTTTTCAAGACAGCGCCTCCTATCAAATTGTATTGGATAAACATGTGAAGGAGTAGGCTATCTTCAATTTTATTTAGCGAATCGTAGTAGCCAACTCGTTTGATTTATTTTTAATAAAACTAATTTAGCTAGTCGATAGAACATATGAATAGTCCATTTAATATTTGTAAAGATGGTTTGTGACCAGATTTGAGCCGTTAATGTGTGTTTTTTCGCCCTCTTTCCCCCGAAAATATTTTGATAGCTAACGTTAGCCTTTAACCTTGGACTTTGTAGATATGTCATAAATGCTGCAGAATTCTGCCCATTTTGTGTCCCCATATATTTCAGACCAATAAAGTTTTCCAAAGTTCAAAAACAACTCAAGGGACACTTCAACAGAGCAGTGCAACATGAAGGTAACATCAAACATCTTTTTTTCTTTTTTTTCTTTCTTTTTGAAACATCATAAGACATGTGCTATCCGAACCCAGCAACATATCATTTTATGATTATGCAAAGCAATTTATAAATGAGGTTTTTTTAATGCAATTGAAGATGAAAAGTAAAGTCACGAACACAGTTTTTTTCTTACAGACTTACGGACTTACAGACTTCTTTAAAAAAAAATATATATATATATATATATATATATATAAATATATAAATCACATAAAGTAACAAAAGCTATTATAGACCACTACAAAAAAACACAAAAGAAAACATTTTATAGACCATTACAACACAAAAGACGCAACCTTAAGACGCAATATGCGTCATTTCCGATTCTTCTTCCTGTATCCAAAGACAACAACAACAGCAGCAGCACGTGGATAATTAATAGTTCGGGGCAGATAGCGATCGCCTTTGTTTGCGCTTTGATGCTGTAACGTTACTGAGCTCCCTCCAAAATGATGCTGTGCTGTGTCTCGCCTGGTCTCGCGATGAACACAAATCACTATGGGGATATGCCGATGCGCGTTTACCAAAAATTAGGGTTAGAAAAGGGGTACTCCAGGTATAATATCCCAGTTTTTAAAAATCCATGATATGAGCATATTCGGGCTTTTGCCGGTGTTTACATGGCCGTTCGCGACCGGGTTATTGCTAATCCCGGTTTTGAACGGGTTATTGGCTGCATGTAAACGTAGTCACGTGGCATCACTCATGGAATATGTTCTACATGTTTGTTTAAAAATCAAAACACTTATTGTTAATGCCAGTACACAGTCATTGAATAAAGTAAACAACATAGATTATGGATTAAATCATGTATTTCTTATAAGGTCATTTCGCCATCCCATATATGGCTTTAGGAGGGTCAGTTTACACAGCCTCCTCGAACCAGATCCATTAGTTCCTTCCTGAATTTCTCAGACATGAAAACATAAAGAACGGGGTTGGCCACTGTAGAAGACGTTGCCATGATGCGAGCAAATGTAGCAAAAGGTCCAAAGCGAGGTAAAAGAACAACGTCATTGTCACCCTCAACTATCTGAGCGAACATCAAGCCATAGGAAGGCAGCCAGCACAAGGCAAACGCCAGCACTAACAGAGCAGACGTCTTGGTGACATGCACATGGTAGTGCTCCAAACGGTCAGTCTGAGTTGTGCGATCCCGCCTAGTGACTTTGAGGAAATGGTATATCTTGATATAGGCTATTAAAATGATCAAAAGCGGAAACGCAAAAGCCAGAAGGAAGTGGCACACTCCATATACCAAATGGCTCTTGCCATAAGGGAAATTAAAACATGCCATGTCCTCACGAGCTGGAACCAGTGTCCTCCAAGCGAACTGAGGTGATGCCAAGACAACAGCTGGTATCCACAGTACACCTGCGATCACTGTTAAACGCCCCTCTCTGCGCCACCGATACGCTTTTGACTTGTGAACCACGATGATGTATCGAGCAAAAGCCAAAGCGGCCAGTGTAAAGGCGCTCGCGGCTGTACACATCGCACTCAGGAAGCTGACTGACTTGCACATAAAGCTTCCAAATGGCCAGTGATGGGTTGCAATGGCAACTGTGTGATATGGAAGACAGGAAAGTAGGAGAAGGTCCGCCACACTTAATGACAGAAGGAGAACATCTGTGCCGTTTGCTTTTGTTTGCTGGAGTCCTCCTGTCCTTCCTTCACGTCCTCGCCGCATCGTACGACTGATGATGATGAGAACCAGGATGTGTCCCACTATCCCCGTCACCAGGATAAAGCTGTCAAATATTGGGACTAACACTCGCTCAACATCACTCGGTCCAGGACTGGAACTGTTTGACTTAGTAGTCACGTCAGCCATATTGGAGTGTCCAAGAGTTGGTAACAAACTAACTTTCAGTGTAATTGCTTCTATTTTTTTGTATGCATCTTTAAAAAGACTTTTACTCACTTGAAAGTTTCAGTCTTCCAGCAAAAGCATCTGGACGTTTAACAAACATGTCCCCTTTCGAAGCTTCTCAGACCAGTGTTTCAAAAACCAAGTTCGGTTATACAATGTACATCATTATGCATTCCTGTAGTTTTGCCTGAGAACGCAGTGATGTCCAGAACAGTAGTCGAGATAAAACGCTCTGGAATGCATCAAAAGTTAATGATTGCAGCATGACTGACAGAGCAGAAATGCTGCTATTGGTTTAGTTCTCTCCAAGGAAATCGAAATATTGCTTGAAATCATTGTTTAATTGTCTTTTCATAGATATATTTCCTCTTTTCCTTGGCAGATCCGAAGCCAAAATGATGGCAGTTTTACTTGCCTGAAGATGTATTCAAAGGATTGCTGTACTCTTCTTCTAACTTGAAGATCTGTGTAACAAATTCAATGTCTATAAACTCAGAGCGTCAATCTTCCGGAACTCCAAAGGGATTATTCAAAAGATCTGGAGTGGCTATCCGTGCTTCAACGGAGACTTCAACAACAGGAGAGGCAAGTCAAATGGCCTTTGACCTGACAGCAGTAACGTAACTCCTATAAACAGAGCTTTGTTCATTTAGTGAATCGTCAAGTTTAGTCAATAGAGAAAACCTTCAACTTTTCTCTGTAGTTTCTTTCTGTCACACGATTCTGTTTCACCCTGCGAACAGCCTTATTTCCATCCAAACATGAAAAAGCCTGTCATACTGTAGTTCTACTTATGTTCATGGCATTCCAAACTTCAGAATCTTTGGAACCCAAAAGAATGTATTTTAAAGAAAGTTTTGGCCATACAATGAAAGTCAATGAATCTGGTTCAAAACATAATTGGAGCCCATTGACTGACATACAAAAAAAAAAAGAAAGAATTTCTTTAAACTTTATTTTACAGTGTCCTTGCTACATATGTTACATGTATTTACTGTACTAATGAAAGTAAATTATGCATAATTTCATGAAAGTAACCCTCAACCAAATCCTAACCCTAGACTATAGTAAGTATGTAGTTAATTAATATTTCTCAGTGCTTAAATATACACTTCTTAAATTTCATCTGAAGCAAGTGTTACAGCAAATCATAAACTCAAGTTCACATGATCAGATAAGTTTAAAGCGCAAAGGCAAAGGTTAAAACATACAGATAACGTGTCCCGCCCATAACTTAGATTGTCAGTGTAACTGTGGACTCATAAATACCCTTATTATTAGTATATCGTCTTAGTTTACTCTAATGAATCACCATGACTTTTTATGACATAAACTTTGGACAGTCTGTGTTAAAGCATTTCAATCCATTGGCCTGTTGAAGTTAGCATACTGTATGCAACGTCCATTTCAAACTATTCTTCATTGGGACTTCTCAAGAGGAAAATTCTAAATAAAAATATAGCAGAATAAACCATCATTTTGATTATTCATAAAGTTGATTTTTCTATTCTGCATTTAGTTAAATTTATCGTAGTTCAAAATTTCCAAAATGATTTAGTGTAATTTGCTAATGCAAATAAGAATGCAGACAATGGATGGATGGATGAATTTAGTCTAGAATGCATGCTGGTGTGACTATATTGTCTAGTTGTTGTTTTTTTATCAAAAGTTTGTTTAATCGCAAGAGGGATCAGTTTGACTTGAGACAGTTTTTAATAGAAAGACATGCTTATTCCAAAAACAGCATTATTATGGTTACAATCACGAGGGGTCATTTAAAATACACTTTAAATTGATGAATTCATGAAATGAGGTGGGTCTCAAAGTGATTTTGAGCTTGCCAATGATTGAAACATATTAATACAAACATAAGCAAGTGTTTTACAAACATGTTCTGTCCCAGTTTATAAATCGCCCATATTTAACTCTACAGCTGAGTGACAGTGAAATCAGAAATGTCTCCCTGCATCACAGCCTGGAACGGGACAAGCCAACATCTGATAACTGGAGTTGAAGGAAGTCTGTAGTCAGTGACATCCTCCCTTCAGATACATTCATAGATTAAAACAGATGTATAATAAAGGAAAAAAATCAGCTGTGTGTATGATCACTTACAAGCTCGCCTTCACTTCCTGGTCCATTATCTTTAGAGTTGGTGTTTGTGATCCTTGAACCTCCTCATATGAAGCCTCAGCTTTTCCTTCAATAGTATCCACAGTTATTGAGATTTTATCCCATGTTGGTTTAATAAAGCAAGTTACAAATCAAAATTTACCATTTAATCGCTCATCCAGCTAACAACAAAATATTAAGACGCTCTAAGTTCTAAGACGCTTTAATAAGCTGCATAATTAGACACATAAATCCTGCAGCAGATAGGCAGGTGGAGCTGAGGGAGGTAGGAGGTAACGCTGCAGGACTAACTTACAGCAAACAATAAACCAGACTATTTAAATATTGAGCAAGCAATCTCATTGGCTGCAGGATCAGCAAAGGCCAATCAGCTTCTGCCATGGGGAAGTTACGTATGCTAGCAGATTGCATGTAAACCTATCAGTTTCATGACTGAACTAGATATATAAATAACATTTTCATGGTTATATTTTGAAAACATTATTAAAGACTAGATAACTTTGAAAAGAAATCCATTAATATTACTGGAAGAACATTTGTTCATAACTTTGAGAAAACCTTGCCAAAACATTAGCTAAAGTTCTGAGAATGTTCTCTGTGTTTAACCAGTGAAGAACTCTTACCTAAAATGCCCCTCAAACTGAAATCTTTTGGCTGTTGCCGAACAGCAGGCCACAGAAACACTTCACCCTTTTCCTTGTGAAGAAGAATAACAACACGTATGCTTCCCATGGTAACGTCCATTTCGTTTCTTCGTAATATCAGTGACAAGCTGTTGAAACAGAGAAACTGATGAATGAATTCTACTTCACAGAAAGAAGATAACATACACAAATGCAGTAAAACACTTCTAGTTTGAGGAGTATATACCCCTCTGTATGGTGTTGAGTAGGTTCCTGGTCCCACAAAAACTCAAGATGATTCTGGCCATCTTCATATCTGATAGAGCGAGTGTTTATTGTCAGATGATGGTTTGTTTTGTAATGAAAGGCAATTTGTTCGAATCCCTGTCGTCCAGTCATGAATTGTCCATTCACAGAGAACTCTAAGACACACAGAAAGTCAAACTCAATTAAAAAAAGACGACTTCCTAAAGGATGGGCATGAAGAGTAAATGTGTAATAGTTACCTGAAGCAGAATCCTGTAGCAGTCTGAGTTTCTGAGGAGCAGGAATGTCAAAACAAAGTGGCTTAGACTGACCAGCAGCCTGCAGCAGGAACCGACTGATACCAACTCTTGGAACTAAGAGAAAACATTAGCAAATGCTGTATCATAATTATTTTAGAAAATTGTCTTATTATTTATGTACCTAACATTGTCGGGAGAAGACTTTCTTCCTCTGCATCCTCCTCTAGAAATGTGGGCATTGGAGCTAAGAAGGTGCAATTGATCAAATTAGACTTTCTTGACACAAGGCAGAATCAAAGTTACAGCATTTTAATACCAGAGAACTAAGAGAGAACATAACCAAATGCTGTATTATAATTATTATAGAAAATTGTCTTACATAATAAGTATGTTTGATTGATCTTTATGTACCTGACATAGTAGGTAAAACAATCTCTTCCGCTGCACTCTCCTGTAGAGTGAGCACTTGATCTAAGAAGGTGCAATTGATCAAATGAGACTTTCTTGAGACAAGGCAGAATCAAAATTACATTATTTTAATACATACCAGGAACTAATAGACCGGAGTAATCATGAAATGAATCTAAAAAAAAAAGGCAGAGATATTATAAAATACAGCTTTTCATACTAAGTTAGTTTATCAACTTTTAGAAGAAAAGAAGCATACCATAGATCCCTGGAATAGGAGGAGGTGGATGTAGTTTGAGGAATTCATCAGACTGTCCTGGCAAGGACCGACTAATAAAGCCAGGACTGGACTGACTAATAAAGCCAGGACCGGGCTCACTAAAAAAACCAGGACTGGGCTGACTTAAAACACCAGGACCAGGCTGACCGGGACTGTGAACGTACTGACTAAATCCGGGCACTGGGATATAAATGAAGTGGGAAAAAAATATATTTAAAGGCAGTATATTGAATTTGGCATAAAATGAAAATTCATTTTCTAAATGCATATTATAAATCTTATTGTGAATTATCTTATAATGTATATGTCTCTTTTTTTTTTTTTTTTTTACTTTGACGTCATTATTTTTAATAAAAATACCATAACTGGATAACTATCATAACTATCATAAGCTTCCTTTTTAAGCGACAGAATTCTCTCTGGTGACGTATGCACGACTTCAACGCTATATGTTCAAAGAAAATTTGAGTAGATTGAAAAGAAGTGTATCTTAAAATCTAATAGTCAACTGATGTACCAAATTTAATACACACTTTACATTAGCTACTAATTTTTGGATAAGCTGTTTCACTCATATGTGCATCACAGTACATCGGTACGTCCCTTTCATTGCAACTGCAATAGGTTGAGTAAATGAACTGTTAGATCATCATTTTACCTGCAACTGGATTCCAGGATGAAGGAGGCAAACTCATTACTAATCAAATAAAAAGAAAGAGAAAAGTGTTATTCACTTTATAGTGGGCAGCAAGTCCAAGACCACAACTGTGAAAATCTGTGATTTTATTTTATTTAAACCTTAAAGGAAGAAATATTTAAGATTTTGCATTAATTGTGGACAAAAGGAAACACACTGAAGTTCATGTCAAGTTTTTACTCAAATTGTTTGCTGATAATATATTTTGTAATGAAATAAACTGTACAGTAATTAATGAAAACTATTTCACAAGTGATCAATTGGATTGGATGTTTTGGTTAACCTGTATGATGCAGTTGATGCAAAGCTTCATTAATACATTAGTGCGTAACTTTTCATATTTTTGCTGTCACGGTCACTGTGTTTATTTTGCTGCATAAAATGGACCTTGCTCTTTTGTTGAAGCTCAAATGTCTGCACACTTTCATTTACTATGTTTGTAAGATGCTACAACTTTTCAGTTCTCACCTGGAGGTCTGGGTTCCTCTCCTCCCTCTTTGGGTTTGTCTGCAACTTCCACTTCATCTTCCTGTGGCTTTGTGACGACCATAGAGGTGAGGGAGGTGACGAACTGGTATTTTAGGGATAGTCTGAGAGCTTCTTCCTTTTCATCCTCTTTCTCCTGTCCTTTAAGAAGCACTCTGAGACAGAAAGATGTCCTCAATGTCCAACAAAAAAAGTAGAATGTCATATCACTCAATCAACTTACTGCCTTTCCAGAATTTGCTTCACTGTAAGGTAGGCCCACAGTCTCGGCATGAAGTCATCATTCTCATGTAAGGCATCACTGGGGTCTTTTGGCATTACAGTTTCCTGATATGTCACGTTATTGCCTTTCTGCTCAGAAAAAAAATCCTAATGGGCATTTTCATCAGTAATGCTGTCATTACCACTTTCTCAGAAAACAAAGTGACCATTATTACAAACTCTTAAACAATTGATGATCAATGATCCTAATACACAATATAATGACCTTTGTTGAGACTGACTGTCGAGGTAAAACAGCCCACTCAATCCCTACCAATTTGAGATATTGTAAAACACCATGATGCTCTTACTGATACTGCAATGACTTCAGAGGTGAAACTCTCCACACTGTTGTCTGTGATTTGTCCTGATACCACAATCTCAGAGCCGTTGAAGTACAGGCTAAAGCTGGTCTTGGTAAGGTTTGTCCCTCCTGTGTATTTAAGTTGAATATCACTGAGGAGAGGGACGGCAACCTCGTCATAGAAGCCCTACGATACAAACCAAAATAAAGGGTTTAAATGCATTCACACGAATTCACAGTCGGATGAATTCACAGTCGGCTGATTCTCTGTCGTTCACCTGCAGCTGTAGATCAGCGTCCGAATCTTCATAAATCCTGCGAGAAACTCCAGCATTTTCCAATGACATTTGTGTCAGGAAGTCAAAGTTGACATCATATCCAAAACCAAGACAATATAGGGGAAACTTTAGACCAATTGCCTCTTTCACATTGGCCATTATCCTCTCTTTGTTAATTTCACCTGTTAGAGAAGACATTAAATGAGACTATCTACAATACATACTTGAAAATCATGACATTTTTTGAGTGATCAGAAAGCAATGGAATCATTGGACAATTTCCTATTTTTTATTCTTTTCTCTTACTGACAAAGAAAAGAACCAAATTTGGTTATGCTGATAATCTACTGTTCCTAATTAGGTCTTAAACCTTTTATTAACAGGTCTTCTAATTACACTGAGTGAACTAGTGCTAGGATAAAACACATTAGCTTGTGTTTGTCAGTGAATCTGTGCCTGAAGTGGGATCTCCATCAGTCAGCAGGATCAGGATGGAGGCAGTTCCTTCTCGTGGATGTCGATTGATCATGTCCACTCCTGCTAGAACTGCAGCGTTAATGTCTGTGGCTAAAGGAAGAACAAACATAGTCGTGTCATATCGATGTAAAACTTTCTTACTCCCCATTTAGAGTTAGGAATTCACCTCCTCTATCACTGATCTTCTTCACAAAAGATTTGGCAATCTCCAGGTTTTCCTCGGTAGCTTTCAAGAGTTCATTCTTCCATGTTTTAATTTCACTGTCAAAAGTGATCAATCCAAAGTGGTCATCCTCATCAAGATCACCTAAAATCTTTAGCAGTGCCAAACGAGTCTAAAGAAAAACACTTCTGTCAGAACATCTGAAGTTATTCTTTCTCCATTACAACTGCTTTCTCAATTAAAGTAAGCAAATCCAGTGATTTCAATACATAAATCCCTGTTATTTTAACATATAAATGCACAATACTGCAAGATCCTTCAAAAAAATATCCTTCATCAACTATTTCATAGCTTTTCATCTTTTTGGTTAAAGGTTGACATTTACCTGTTGTATTTTTCTGCCATACATAGAACCGCTCCGGTCAATGATGAAAACAACATTTTTGGGAATACGTGGAACATCAGAGGGAGCAAAGAAGTGGACAAAATAGCCATTTGATACCTGAGAGAAAACAATAGTACATTTTGAATATCATTTTTTGTACATAGTCAGTCTTTTAAAATCATCTGGAAACTGTATTTTACTCTCATTAAGTATGTTTTTAAAAAATGTACCATGACTTCTCCTGTATGATTTGATCTATCTACATCGTATGTTATAAGCAGGTCACCATTCAGTCCATTTTCTCCACAGCTTTTACACTTGGTCTGTTGATCTCGAGTGGGGTAGAAGGTCACCCATGCCTGAAATGATCAGTTTGCTCATCTGGTAACTTAGTTTAGCATAATGAGAACATTTAAGCTAAGTGTTTTACCCCTCATTTTAAGCTCTTACGTCTTTGTCTGCTCTGGTGGTTTTGATGGCATTGGCCAGATCACCGGTGCTCAAATCTCCTTTCACCTCCAAGAAGGAAATTCCTGGTTTCTCTTGTATGTGAACATCAATCTAAAGTGAGGTAAAGAAATATGATCTTTCTATCCAGCTTAAGTGATGTCCTTTTTCCCTCTTTGTTTCTTCTCCTACCTTGAAGTCTGCCACCGGCTGCATCGGTTGGGTATTGATGAGGAGCTCATATTTGCCAAGGCGACGCTTTAGCAGTTCTTCGTAGGTCAACTCAAAAGTCACTTTACTAAAAGCAGCCACCGTCACTGAAGTTTTAAAGTCTTCTAAAGTCCTTCCAACAGATCTGAAATTGAAATGAATCCCAGTATATTAGTAAACACGCTATTAAAAAACATTTAATTGATCTGTTATTGTTTATGTCTAGTACTTGATCAGTCCAGCACTTTCTCCTCGAGATACTGCTCGACTGTACTGTTGCTGAGCCTCCTGTTTTTCCTTCACAACACCATCATATATCTTCCCCTCTATGCTCCTATGGAGAAAAAGACAGATATCTTAATAAGTGTATCTCTATTGCATTAAAAGATTTTATAAATCTTCAGGTGAGACTTTATTTCGATAATCCACTTTAGACATTCTTCTAACTATTAGTAACTTTCCAACTACATGTCAACTAACTGTCATTAGAGGATCAGTAGACTGTCTGAATAAGATCTGGTCCCCCAACAGACATGACATTTACTGACTGACTATAAGTAACTTGGCTTTACAAGTCGACTTATTCTCCTAACACCTAAACATACCACTCTACTGACAGTCTACAGTCTACTAATACTCTAATGAGAGTTAGTTGACAGAAAAGTTACTTAGTTAGTACAATGTCTAAAGTGGACTATCGAAATAAAGTGTAACTAATCGTTATTTTGTTGTTGTTTAGCTGCATTAGCAGATATGACCTGAGACCAATGTGCTATAAATGGCTTCTTTACCACTTTATCTCTACTTATATAACACAATGTATGTTTCCCTACATTCTGAATTTGCTGATGAAGGCATTCTTGGGTATCTTGACCTCGAACTGGATCTCTTGAGATTCATTCACTGTGTTCGCCACACGGCTTGTGATGACGGTTGTGGCGTAGCGACTGGTGACCGTGGAGTTTATGTAGAAGCTGTATATATCCACATTTTGTTTCTGTTGAGACATCAAACAGTACAGTCATATATATGTTCATATAACAGAGGGTTTTTGGATGGTGCACATTTACTCCTCCTTTTTGCGTGGGATTGTTCAAATATTTACGGCTAGAAAATGGCATGGAGAAAGGGCCTTTGGACTAAAAAACAAGTACATTTTGATGACTACATCTCAATGTAAACTATTGAGTAATAGTTCTCTTTACTCAAACTGCGTTTTAAATAATACACTGCTGTTCAAACGTCAGTATGACTTGTTACCGTTTTTGAAATAAGTATTTTATGCTCCATTTATTTGATCCAAAATACACTCAAATTAAATTTTCAGCTTCTTTACTCCAGTCTTCAGTGTCGCATGATCCTTCAGAAATCATACTAAGCTTATTTTCTTCTTAAGAAACATTTACAATTAATTATTTTTTATAGGCGTTTTAAGTTTAAAATAACAGCTTTTATTTGAAATATAAATATTTAATATTTATAGAATATAAATCTATAGAATGTCACAATTTAATGATTAAAAGTATTAATTTCTTTCCTTTAAAAAAAAAAAAAAAAAAAACCTTACTGACCTCAAAGTTTTGTTTGAAGTGAACATACAGTATATGAAGTAAGTCTAATTGGTCTGGACCTTCATCTCAAATACAAAAAACAAGTCTCTTTTTAAGAATCTTAAACTGAGCGTTGACCCTCACCTTCTTTACAGGTTGTTGTGAACTGGCTGAGATGAGAAAGACACCCAAGAGTATCAGTCTGAGAGCTGCTCGATCCATCATGACCTGCTCAGAAAGCAGACCTCGAAAAACACACTGCCTATAAACTCCTGTCCACATCATGTGATTGGCTATTATTGAACGGATGAAGAAACCTCCCCCACTATATGTGATCAGTGTAGCGAGTGAGACAATATTTGCTATATTTGACAAATAATCCATAATATCTCTCACTGAGAGAATTAACTGCAACTAACACTGGTTACAGGAAACTTAAAGACTTATAAGACTGTTTTAAACCTAAAGGAATTTAAAGAGAGGTTTGACTCCCACTTAATTCTATTGGAAAAGGACAAACAAATTTAAATCTATATAGATTTTAAAAATGGATGGTTTGCTCAAGCCTTTTAATTTGCTGAAATTCAAACAATGTTTTCCTGTATTCTAATTCAACTCTCTTTCCCTTGGCAAAGTGTATGCATGTATGTGTGTGTATGTTAGATTAGTGTTTGGTCTAGTTATTTACTGGAGTCCCTAATCATGTAGATTTTGGCTACATACACCTAGAAGTAATGTACAATAATAAAGTTACCTGTTACCGTGGAAATGACAATTTCTTAGAATTAATCAATGAATACATTTTTAAATACTGGGTGTTAACAGGTTAGTGAATTGTGGTATTCTGCTACATCAAGTTAATTCTATTAAATGATCCAAATATTTAAAATAAATTATACCGAGTTATGATCAATTATTTATACTTTTCTTGAGCTAATGTACATCAGAGACTCTTGAACTTGTTATAACTGGGACAATCAGACACATAACTATTTGTTACATTTAAAGGGGTCATGAACTGGCTTTTTAAATTTTATTATATTGCTGTCTGAGGTCAACTTATGACGTTCGCTTGGATTTTGCATTCAAAAACATTAAAATGAATAAGTAGTAGGCTATTTTCTACCCTAGTTTTGAGCCTAGCTCAAAGACTTGGAAGTAAACGCCCACTGCTGTGAGTGGATACCAGTTTTGCATATTATAATGAGTTTCGACTCACCTGTCGGTGCACATGGGGGAATTTTTTTTTTTGAAAACATCCAAACAATTTAACAATTTAATAAAGCTGATGGATCTTTTCATAGTTAAATGGATCTTTTCCATATTTCCATTTCCTGCTTCCGGTTTTATTTGTCACTTACCATTTTACCCAAGTATGTGGGATTGTATGTTGATTGTGTGTTTAGATTAGTTATGTTTGTGGTTTAGTTAAAAAAACTTGTGCACAATACATATTTGTTCTGATAATCTGCTAGCAACAAAGTTTATTTTACGACTTAGATTTTGACTACAGGCTCTTAGTAGTACTGTACATTAAGACAGACATTTCCCTCCCCTGGAAATTAACATTTCTTAGAATTAATAAACAATTAACACGAGTGTTCACAGGATCAAACAGGTTGAAACATTAAATTAATTATATTAACTGATCCAAATATTCATTATTACCCCCTACAACCCCCTCAAAAGTCAGTATTGAGGCATGCTTTTTACAAAATATATTATCTATATAACTTGTAAATACTTTACATTCTGTAAAAGTGTGTTGCTGGTTCATTATTTTACTATCAGAAATGACCTCATAAAATACATGAAATAATCACATTCAATACTTTGATTGAAAAGGCACCAATCAAAGGGTTGCTATACATACAATATCTCATAGATAGATGATAGATAGATCAGACTCTACAGCTGAGTGACAGTGAAATCAGAAATGTCTCCCTGCATCACAGCCTGGAACGGGACAAGCCAACATCTGATAACTGGAGTTGAAGGAAGTGTGTAGTCGGTGACATCCTCCCTACAGATACATTCATAGATTAAAACAGATGTATAATAAAGGAAAAAATCAGCTGTGTGTATGATCACTTACAAGCTCGCCTTCACTTCCTGGTCCATTATCTTTAGAGTTGGTGTTTGTGATCCTTGAACCTCCTCATATGAAGCCTCAGCTTTTCCTTCAATAGTATCCACAGTTATTGAGATTTTATCCCATGTTGGTTTAATAAAGCAAGTTACAAATCAAAATTTACCATTTAATTGCTCACCCAGCTAACAAACAAAACAAAACAAAAAAAAATCAAAAGTTAGAAAATATTATTTCCGAATGTTCTCTAAACATTCAAAACATTCAGGTTTTTTGAAATGTTCCAAAAACTTTTATTTTCTTGGTCATGAATGTTAAAGAACATTCCATTTTATCATTCTGCAAACATTAGGTAACCATTACTTTTGAATATTCTCTGAACATTCTGAATCAAGTAGTAACATTGCTAGAGGAATGTCCATCTAAAATCTTTTTTTAAAAATAAAGAATTAATGAACAATATTTTAATCATGACAACTCTCTGAATAGTTTTAGCATGTCATTGGATATGGTGATGTTATTGTATTTGGTCACAAGATCTGCTATGCTGCTGCAGAGCAAGTATATGGACACAGCATGTAAGATATGCTCCTGAATATAGACACATAAATACAGTGGCAGATGGGGCAGGTGGAGGTGAAGGGTTTCAGAGGAACACTGATAGCGCTCTGCAGGACTAGCTTACAGCAAACCAGACTATTTAAATGTAAAGCAAGCAATCTCATTGGCTGCAGGATCAGCAGAGGCCAATCAGCTTGTGCTGTGAAATTAAGTAACTGCTTGCAAATTGCATGTAAACCTATCAGCCTACGACCTCTAGAGTTTCATAACTGAACTAGATATAAATAACATTTTCATGGTAATTTTTTTGAAAACATTATTAAAGACTAGATAACTTTTTTTTTTTTTTTTTAAATCCATTAATATTACAGGAAGAACATTTGTTCATAACTTTGAGAAAACCTTGCCAAAACATTAGCTAAAGTTCTGAGAACGTTCTCTGTTAGCTGGGTGTGTAAAGTGTTTAACCAGTGAAGTACTCTTACCTAAAATGGCCCTCAAACTGACATCTTTTGGCTGTTGCCGAACAGCAGGCCACAGAAACACTTCACCCTTTTCCTTGTGAAGAAGAATAACAACACGTATGCTTCCCATGGTAACGTCCATTTCGTTTCTTCGTAATATCAGTGACACGCTGTTGAAACAGAGAAACTGATTAATGAATTCTACTTCACAGAAAGAAGATAACATACACAAATGGAGTAAAACACTTATAGTTTGAGGAGTATATACCCCTCTGTATTGTGTTGAGTAGGTTCCTGGTCCCACAAAAACTCAAGATGATTCTGGCCATCTTCATATCTGATGGAGCTTGTGTTTATTGTCAGATGATGGTTTGTTTTGTAATGAAAGGCAATTTGAAAGAATCCCTGTCGTCCAGTCATGAATTGTCCATTCATGGAGAACTCTAAGACACACAGAAAGTCAAACTCAATTAAAAAAAGATGACTTCCTAAAGGATGGGCATGAAGAGTAAATGTGTAATAGTTACCTGAAGCAGAATCCTGTAGCAGTCTGAGTTTCTGAGGAGCAGGAACATCAAAACAAAGTGGCTTAGACTGACCAGCAGCCGACAGCAGGAACCGATTGATACCAACTCTTGGAACTAAGAGAAAACATTAGCAAATGCTGTATCATAATTATTTTAGAAAATTGTCTTACATAATAAGTATGTTTGAGGGATCTTTATGTACCTGGCATAGTAAGGACAACAATCTCTGTACTGTCCTGTAGAGGTGTGGGCATTTGATCTAAGAAGGTGCAATTGATCAAATTAGACTTTCTTGACACAAGGCAGAATCAAAGTTACAGCATTTTAATACCAGAGAACTAAGAGAGAACATAACCAAATGCTCTATTATAATTATTATAGATAATTGTCTTACATAATAAGTATGTTTGATTGATCTCTATGTACCTGACAAAGTAGCTAAAACAATCTCTTCCGCTGCACTCTCCTGTAGAGTGAGCACTTGATCTAAGAAGGTGCAATTGATCAAATGAGACTTTCTTGAGACAAGGCAGAATCAAAATTACATTATTTTAATACATACCAGGAACTAATAGACCGGAGTAATCATGAGATGAATCTAAAAAAAAAAGGCAGAGATATTATAAAATACAGCTTTTCATACTAAGTTAGTTTATCAACTTTTAGAAGAAAAGAAGCATACCATAGATCCCTGGAATAGGAGGAGGTGGATGTAGTTTGAGGAGTTTATCAGACTGTCCCGGCAAGGACTGACTAATAAAGCCAGGACCGGACTGCCTAATAATGCCAGGACCGGGCTCACTAATAAAGCTACCGGACTGACTAATAAAGCCAGGACCGGACTGCATAAAAAAACCAGGACTGGGGTGACTTAAAACACCAGGAGCAGGCTGACCGGGACTGTGAACGTACTGACTAAATCCGGGCACTGGAATATAAAAGAAGTGGGAAAAATATATTTAAAGGCAGATTCAGTATATTGAATTCGGCATAAAATGAAAATTCATTTTCTAAATGCATATTATAAATCTAATTGTGAATTATCTTATAATGTGTATGTCTCTTTTTTTTTTTTTTTACTTTGACGTCATTATTTTTAATAAAAATACCATAACTGGATAACTATCATAATCCTCCTTTTTAAGCGACAGACTTCTCTCTGGTGACGTATGCACGACTTCAACGCTATATGTTCAAAGAAAATTTGAGTAGATTGAAAAGAAGTGTATTTTAAAATCTAATAGTCAACTGATGTACCAAATTTAATACACACTTTACATTAGCTACTAATTTTTGGATAAGCTGTTTCACTCATATGTGCATCACAGTACAGAAGAATATATCTATCGGTACTTCCCCATTGCAACTGCAATAGTTTGAGTAAATTAACTGTTAGATCATCATTTTACCTGCAACTGGATTCCAGGATGAAGGAAGCAAACTCATTACTAATCAAAAAAAAAAAAAAAAAAAAAAAGAAAGAAAGAGAAAAGTGTTATTCACTTTATAGTGGGCAGCAAGTCCAAGACCACAACTGAAAATCTGTGTTTTATTTTATTTAAACCTTAAAGGAAGGAATATTTAAGATTTTGCATTAATTGTGGACAAAAGGAAACACACTGAATTCTATTCTGAGATAGACACTGAGATTCTAATGTTTGTGTATAAATCGCTAAATAATCAGGCCCCACCATATCTGGCGAATCTCATAACTTTGTATACCCCCTCCAGAAAACTACGCTCAGAGAATCAGGAACTACTGATAGTACCGAGAACAAAGCGCCTTCATAAGGGTGACCGGGCATTTGCGGTAATAGGCCCGAAACATTGGAATGAGTTACCGTTGCCTATTAGATCTGCAAAATCGCTGTCGATTTTTAAGCATCTGTGTAAATCATATCTGATGTCCTTAGCCTACAATGAGTAGATGTGATATTTTACATGTGATATTTTAACTGGTTGAAGTATGTTTTTATTTTTATCCATCATGGGAATCTGTATGTAAAGCACTTTGGCTCAACTTGGGTTGTGTATTAATAGTGCTATATAAATAAATAAACAGAAACAGAATTGACTGCCAATTCAAGTTTTTACTCAAATTGTTTGCTGATAATATATTTTGTAATGAAATAAACTGTACAGTAATTAATGAAAACTATTTCACAAGTGATCAATTGTATTGGATGTTTTGGTTAACCTGTATGATGCAGTTGATGCAAAGCTTGATTAATACATTAGAGCGTAACGTTTCATATCTCTGCTGTCACGGTCACTGTGTTTATTTTGCTGCATAAAATGGACCTTGCTCTTTTGTTGAAGGTCAAATGTTTGCACACTTTCATTTACTATGTTTGTAAGATGCTACAACTTTTCAGTTCTCACCTGGAGGTCTGGGTTCCTCTCCTCCCTCTTTGGGTTTGTCTGCAACTTCCACTTCATCTTCCTGTGGCTTTGTGACGACCATAGAGGTGAGGGAGGTGACAAACTGGTATTTTAGGGATAGTTTGAGAGCTTCTTCCTTTTCATCCTCTTTCTCCTGTCCTTTAAGAAGCACTCTGAGACAGAAAGATGTCCTCAATGTCCAACAAAAAAAGCAGAATGTCATATCACTCGATCAACTTACTGCCTTTCCAGAATTTGCTTCACTGTAAGGTAGGCCCACAGTCTCGGCATGAAGTCCTCATTCTCATGTAAGGCATCACTGGGGTCTATTACCATTACAGTTTCCTGATACGTCACGTTATTGCCTTTCTGCTCAGAAATAATAATACTAGTGGGCATTTTCATCAGTAATGCTGTCATTACCACTTTCTCAGAAAACAAAGTGACCATTATTCAAAACTCTTAAACAATTGATGATCAATGATCCTAATATACAATATTATAATATTATAACCTTGGTTGAGACTGACTGTCGAGGTAAAACAGCCCACTCAATCCCTACCAATTTAAGATATTGTAAAACACCATGATGCTCTTACTGATACTGCAATGACTTCAGAGGTGAAACTCTCCACACTGTTGTCTGTGATTTGTCCTGATACCACAATCTCAGAGCCGTTGAAGTACAGGCTAAAGCTGGTCTTGGTAAGGTTTGTCCCTCCTGTATATTTAAGTTGAATATCACTGAGGAGAGGGACGGCAACTTCGTCATAGAAGCCCTACGATACAAACCAAAATAAAGGGTTTAAATGCATTCACACGAATTCACAGTCGGATGAATTCACAGTCGGCTGATTCTCTGTCGTTCACCTGCAGCTGTAGATCAGCGTCCGAATCTTCATAAATCCTGCGAGCAAGTCCAGCATTTTCCAATGACATTTGTGTCAGGAAGTCAAAGTTAACATCATATCCAAAACCAAGACAATATAGGGGAAACTTTAGACCAATTGCCTCTTTCACATTGGCCATTATCCTCTCTTTGTTAGTTTCACCTGTTAGAGAAGACATTAAATGAGACTATCTACAATACATACTTGAAAATCATGACATTTTTTGAGTGATCAGAAAGCAATGGAATCATTGGACAATTTCATATTTCTTAATCTTTTCTGTTACTGATAAAGAACCAAATTTGGTTATGCTGATAATCTACTGTTCCTTTAATTAACAGGTCTTCTAATTACACTGAGTGAACTAGTGCTAGGATAAAACACATTAGCTTGTGTTTGTCAGTGAATCTGTGCCTGAAGTGGGATCTCCATCAGTCAGCAGGATCAGGATGGAGGCGGTTCCTTCTCGTGGATGTCGATTGATCATGTCCACTCCTGCCAGAACTGCAGCGTTAATGTCTGTGGCTAAAGGAAGAACAAACATAGTTGTGTCATATCGATGTACAGCTTTCTTACTCCCCATTTAGAGTTAGGCACTGGCGTAGGAACCGGGGGGGACGGGTCCCCCTCAATATTGAAAAATGTGGCATGTGTCCCACCCAAAAAATTCCATACCTAACCTACCGCAGAAACACAAACTGTACATTTGGAACTTTTATTTTTAAAGCGCGACAAAGAAGATATCTAGTTTTGCCAGCAAGTCAAACCCAGAGTGATAATTAGGTTAAACCATTAAACCCGGTTAAACCTTCCCATTTCATGTTTGAATAATTCGCTTCATATACTTCACTCACCGGAGCATCTGATTGGTAGAGAGAAGTTAACGTTACACTAACGCTCCAGCTTTGAACTGGAACCTACATGATCTAATCTGACAATGTTATTTTTGTTATTAGACATGTTACTTATCACATACCTTTGTTTGCAGTTTGAATAAATAACACAGCAGTTTGAACTTCTCCACTTTATTATACCACACATCAGATCACTAACTCCAAAATCCCGCGACCGTACCAGAGCAAGTGCGCACGACCCATCTACGGCAAGCCCCGAGGGGAAAAATAAAATACATTGCATACACACATACTGTACAACGAGCGCTAGTAGCCTACATCATTACCAGTGTTAACAGACTTTGTTGGATTATGTCATTTACAATCCAAAAAAGTGTGTTACAATAATAATAATAATAATAATAAAGATTTTGAGGACAGTTACACTGTATTGAGAAAGTTGAGAAATAATAATATTTTTACAGTTTTCAACAATAATTCTCATTATTGAACCCTTGTTCTTGTTTTGTTTCTGATTTCTCAGTTTTGTCATTATTTTAGCAAATAATTTATTTTTATATATTTTGACACGGTTTGTTTTAAGAAGTTTCAAAGAGTTAGTAAAAGAGTAAAGTAAAAGTTAAAACTTTTTTATTTAAGTAGGCATCTATTTTTTTGTATTAACACTGTATTCATTTATAATGTGTCATTATTGCTTCTGTCAATAATCATCAAGCACATGTGACTTCACGTAGTGGGAGGGGCCCCCAAAATAGACCGCCACTGCATGTACCACATCACCAAACTGTATGTTACTATTAAGGTGTTGGGATAGACGTTGATTCATAGTGGCCAGTTATGTCCCCCCCCCAATGTCAAAGACGTTCCTACGCCCTTGGAGTTAGGAATTCACCTCCTCTTTCTCTGATCTCCTTCACAAAAGATTTGGCAATCTCCAGGTTTTCCTCGGTAGCTTTCAGGAGTTCATTCTTCCATGTATTAATTTCACTGTCAAAAGTGATCAATCCAAAGTGGTCATCTTCATTAAGATCACCCAAAATCTTTAGCAGTGCCAAACGAGTCTAAAGAAAAACACTTCTGTCAGGACATCTGAAGTTATTCTTTCTCCATTACAACTGCTTTCTCAATTAACAGATATGGGCAGTTTTTTGTTTTTACTAACTTAAAGTAAGCAAATCCACAGTGATTTCAATACATAAATCCCTGTTATTTTAACATATAAATGCACAATTCTGCAAGATCCTTCAAAAAAAAATATCCTTCATCAACTATTTCATAGCTTTTCATCTTTTTGGTTAAAGGTTGACATTTACCTGTTGTATTTTTCTACCGTTCATAGAACCGCTCCGGTCAATGATGAAAACAACATTTTTGGGAATACGTGGAACATCAGAGGGAGCAAAGTAGTGGACAAAATAGCCATTTGATACCTGAGAGAAAACAATAGTACAATTTGAATATCATTCTTTGTACATAGTCAGTCTTTTAAAATCATTTGGAAAATATATTTTACTCTCATTAAGAATGTTATTTTAAAAATGTACCATGACTTCTCCTGTATGATTTGATCTATCTACATCGTATGTTATAAGCAGGTCACCATTCAGTCCATTTTCTCCACAGCTTTTACACTTGGTCTGTTGATCTCGAGTGGGGTAGAAGGTCACCCATGCCTGAAATGATCAGTTTGCTCATCTGGTAACTTAGTTTAGCATAATGAGAACATTTAAGCTGAGTGTTTTACCCCTCATTTTAAGCTCTTACGTCTTTGTCTGCTCTGGTGGTTTTGATGGCATTGGCCAGATCACCGGTGCTCAAATCTCCTTTCACCTCCAAGAAGGAAATTCCTGGTTTCTCTTGTATGTGAATATCAATCTAAAGTGAGGTAAAGAAATATGATCTTTCTATCCAGCTTAAGTGATGATCTATTTCCCAGTTTGTTTCTTCTCCTACCTTGAAGTCTGCCACCGGCTGCATCGGTTGGGTATTGATGAGGAGCTCATATTTGCCAAGGCGACGCTTTAGCAGTTCTTCGTAGGTCAACTCAAAAGTCACTTTACTAAAAGCAGCCACCGTCACTGAAGTTTTAAAGTCTTCTAAAGTCCTTCCAACAGATCTGAAATGTAAATGAATCCCAGTATATTAGTAAACATGCTATTAAAAAAAAATAATTAATTGATCTGTTATTGTTTATGTCCAGTACTTGATCAGTCCAGCACTTTCTCCTCGAGATACTGCTCGACTGTACTGTTGCTGAGCCTCCTGTTTTTCCTTCACAACACCATCATATATCTTCCCCTCTATGCTCCTATGGAGAAAAAGACATACATCTTAATAAGTGTATCTCAGAGATATTGCATTAAAAGATTTTATAAATCTTCAGGTGAGACTTTATTTCGATAGTCCACTTTAGACATTCTTCTAACTATTAGTAACTTTCCAACTACATGTCAACTAACTGTCATTAGAGGATCAGTAGACTGTCTGAATAAGATCTGGTCCCCCAACAGACATGACATTTACTGACTGACTATAAGTAACTTGGCTTCGAAACATACCACTCTACTGACAGTCTACAGTCGACTAATACTCTAATGAGAGTTAGTTGACAGAAAAGTTACTTATAGTTAGTACAATGTCTAAAGTGGACTATCGAAATAAAGTGTAACTAATCGTTATTTTGTTGTTTTAGCTGCATTAGCAGATGCTATAAATGGCTTCTTTACCACTTTATCTCTACTTATATAACACAATTTATGTTTCCCTACATTCTGAATTTGCTGATGAAGGCATTCTTGGGTATCTTGACCTCGAACTGGATCTCTTGAGATTCATTCACTGTGTTCGCCACACGGCTTGTGATGACGGTTGTGGCGTAGCGACTGGTGACCGTGGAGTTTATGTAGAAGCTGTATATATCCACATTTTGTTTCTGTTGAGAATCAAACAGTACAGTCATATTAAGTTATATGTTCATATAACAGAGGGTTTTTGGATGGTGCACAATTACTCCTCCTTTTTGCGTGGGATTGTTCAAATATTTACGGCTAGAAAATGGCATGGAGAAAGGGCCTTTGGACTAAAAAACAAGTACATTTTGATGACTACATCTCAATGTAAACTATTGAGTAATAGTTCTCTTTACTCAAACTGCGTTTTAAGTAATACACTGCTGTTCAAAGGTCAGTATGACTTGTTACCGTTTTTAAAATAAGTATATTATGCTCCATTTATTTGATCCAAAATGCACTAAAATTTAATTTTCAGCTTCTTTACTCCAGTCTTCAGTGTCGCATGATCCTTCAGAAATCATACTAATAAGCTGATTTTCTTCTTAAGAAACATTTACAATTAATTATTTTTATAGGCGTTTTAAGTTTAAAATAACAGCTTTTATTTGAAATATAAATATTTAATATTTATAGAATATAAATCTATAGAATGTCACATTTAATCAATTTAATGATTAAAAGTATTAATTTCTTTCCTTTTTAAAAAAAACCCTTACTGACCTCAAAGTTTTGTTTGAAGTGAACATACAGTATATGAAGTAAGTCTAATTGGTCTGGACCTTCATCTCAAATACAAAAAACAAGTCTCTTTTTAAGAATCTTAAACTGAGCGTTGCCCCTCACCTTCTTTACAGGTTGTTGTGAACTGGCTGAGATGAGAAAGACACCCAAGAGTATCAGTCTGAGAGCTGCTCGATCCATCATGACCTGCTCAGAAAGCAGACCTCGAAAAACACACTGCCTATAAACTCCTGTCCACATCATGTGATTGGCTATTATGGAACGGATGAAGAAACCTCCCCCACTATATGTGATCAGTGTAGCGAGTGAGACAGATCAGACAATATTTGCTATATTTGACAAATAATCCATAATATCTCTCACTGAGAGAATTAACTGCAACTAACACTGGTTACAGTTTTTGGTTACAGGAAACTTAAAGACTTATAAGACTGTTTTAAACCTAAAGGAATTTAAAGAGAGGTTTGACTCCCACTTAATTCTATTGGAAAAGGACAAAAAAAATTAAATCTATATAGATTTTAAGAATTGATGGTCGTTTGCTCAAGCCTTTTAATTTGCTGAAATTCAAACAATGTTTTCCTGTATTCTAATTCAACTCTCTTTCCCTTGGCAAACTGTATGCATGTATGTGTGTGTATGTTAGATTAGTGTTTGGTCTAGTTGTTTACTGGAGTCCCTAATCATGCAGTTTTTGGCTACATGCACCTATAAGTAATGTACAATATTAAAGTTACCCGTTACCGCGGAAATGACAATTTCTTAGAATTAATCAATTAATACATTTTTAAATACTGGGTGTTCACTGGACTAACAGGTTAGTGAATTGTGGTATTCTGCTACATTAAGTTGATTCTATTAACTGATCCAAATATTTATAATAAATTATACAGAGTTGTGATCAATTATTTATACTTTTCTTGAGCTAATGTACATCAGAGACTCTTGAACTTGTTATAACTAGGACAATCAGACACATAACTATTTGTTACATTTAAAGGGGTCATGAACTGGCTTTTTAAATTTTTATTATATTGCTGTCTGAGGTCCGTCCTTCGGATGAGACTTTAAACCGAGGTCCTGACTCTCTGTGGTCATTAAAAATCCCAGGATGTCTTTCGAAAAAATAGGGGTGTAACCCCGGCATCCTGGCCAAATGTGCCCAGTGGCCTCTGTCCATCATGGCCTCCTAATCATCCCCATATATACAAATTGGCTTCATCACTGTCTCCTCTCCACCAGTAAGCTGGTGTGTGGTGAGCGTTCTGGCGCACTATGGCAGCCGTCGCATCATCCAGGTGGATGCTGCACACTGGTGGTGGTTGAGGAGATTCCCCTCTCTATGTAAAGCGCTTTGAGTGCCGAGAAAAGCGCTATATAAATGTAATGAATGAATGAATGAACTTTCGCTTGGATTTTGCATTCAAAAACATTAAAATTAATAAGTAATAGGCTATTTTCTAGCCTAGTTTTGAGCCTAGCTCAAAGACCTGGAAGTAAACGCCCACTGCTGTGAGTCGATAACAGTTTTGCATATTATAATGAGTTTCGACTCACCTGTCGGTGCACATGGGGGAAATTGTTTTGAAAACGTCCAAACAATTTAACATAAAGCTGATGGATCTTTTCATAGTTAAATGGATATTTTCCATATTTGCATTTCCTGCTTCCGGATTTATTTTGTCACTTACCATTTTACCCAAGTATGTGGGATTGTATGTTGATTGTGTGTTTAGATTAGTTATGTTTGTGGTTTAGTTAAAAAAACTTGTGCACAATACATATTTGTTCTGATAATCTGCTAGCAACAAAGTTTATTTTACGACTTAGATTTTGACTACAGGCTCTTAGTAGTACTGTACATTAAGACAGACATTTCCCTCCCCTGGAAATTAACATTTCTTAGAATTAATAAACAATTAACACGAGTGTTCACAGGATCAAACAGGTTGAAACATTAAATTAATTATATTAACTGATCCAAATATTCATTATTACCCCCTACAACCCCCTCAAAAGTCAGTATTGAGGCATGCTTTTTACAAAATATATTATCTATATAACTTGTAAATACTTTACATTCTGTAAAAGTGTGTTGCTGGTTCATTATTTTACTATCAGAAATGACCTCATAAAATACATGAAATAATCACATTCAATACTTTGATTGAAAAGGCACCAATCAAAGGGTTGCTATACATACAATATCTCATAGATAGATGATAGATAGATAGATCAGATTCTACAGCTGAGTGACAGTGAAATCAGAAATGTCTCCCTGCATCACAGCCTGGAACGGGACAAGCCAACATCTGATAACTGGAGTTGAAGGAAGTGTGTAGTCGGTGACATCCTCCCTACAGATACATTCATAGATTAAAACAGATGTATAATAAAGGAACAAATCAGCTGTGTGTATGATCACTTACAAGCTCGCCTTCACTTCCTGGTCCATTATCTTTAGAGTTGGTGTTTGTGATCCTTGAACCTCCTCATATGAAGCCTCAGCTTTTCCTTCAATAGTATCCACAGTTATTGAGATTTTATCCAATGTTGGTTTAATAAAGCAAGTTACAAATCAAAATTTACCATTTAATTGCTCACCCAGCTAACAAACAAAACAAAAAAATATCAAAAGTTAGAAAATATTATTTCTGAATGTTCTCTAAACATTCAAAACGTCCAGGTTTTTTGAAATGTTCCAAAAACTTTTCTTTTTTGGGTCATGAATGTTAAAGAACATTCCGTTTTATCATTCTGCAAACATTAGGTAACCATTACTTTTGAATATTCTCTGAACATTCTGAATCAAGTAGTAACATTGTTAGAAGAATGTCCATCTAAAATCTTTTTTTTAAAATAAAGAATTAATGAACAATATTTCAATCATGACAACTCTGAATAGTTTTAGCATGTCATTGAATATGGTGATGTTATTGTATTTGGTCACAAGATCTGCTATGAAGAAGAAGAAGAAGAAGAAGAAGAAGTTTTATTTATATAGCGCCTTTCCAAAGCTCAAGGTCGCTTTACATGGTACATGAACAATACATTTAAACACTGACACACAGCTAACAGTCACAGAGGATACAAAATAGTCACATTTAAACGAAGTACATGTTGAATAGATATGTTTTTAGCTGTGTCTTGAAAGCAGTCATAGATGAAATATTTCGAAGTGAAAGGGGCAGTGAATTCCATAATGTTGGCGCATTAACACTAAATGACCTTCCACCTACTGTAGATAATCATTAGCGGGGGATGGACAATAAACCAAGTTCAGTTGATCTGAGAGAGCGTGCAGGACGGTAGGTGAAAAGTAGATCAGACAAATAGGGGTGCAAGACCGTTTAATGCCTTATATGTTAAAAGCAATACCTTAAAGTGGATACGAGATGCAACGGGTAACCAGTGAAGGTCATGAAGCACTGGGGTAATGTGAGCAGAACGCCTGGTGGAGGTGAGAACTCTTGCTGCTGAGTTTTGGACGTGCTGTAATCTAGCAATACGTTTTTTGGGAAGCCCAATAAATAAAGCATTGCAATAGTCCAGACGTGATGTGATTAGTGCATGAATTAAGAGTTCGGCATCAGGCGAAGTGAGAGATGGTCTTAGACGAGCAATATTTCGAAGATGAAAGAAAGAGTTTTTCACAATGGAAGAAATATGAGAGCCAAAAGATAGAGTTGAGTCAAATAAGACACCAAGGTTACGAGTCAGTGATGAGGGCTTAATATGGACACCATCAATATAAAAGGACTGGTCCATCCGTTTGACTGAGGCTGGAGAGCCAATCACTAATATCTCAGTTTTATTATCATTTAATTTGAGGAAGTTATGGGACATCCAATGCTTGATGTCCTTGATGCATGCAGTGAGTGAGTCAGGCAGCGATGGTCTATCAGAGCTGGTGGTGAGGTAAATTTGAATGTCATCAGCATAGCAATGGAATTGAAGTCCATGCCTGCGTATGATGTTACCAAGTGGGTGTATATAGATTATGAACAAAAGTGGACCAAGAACCGAACCTTGAGGAACTCCCCATGTAAGTAAATTGGTGGCAGAATTATGACCTTGTATGGTGATATAATACTTTCTGTCAGTGAACTTTAGCTAATGTTTTGGCAAGGTTTTCTCTGCTATGCTGCTGCAGAGCAAGTATATGGACACAGCATGTAAGATATGCTCCTGAATATAGACACATAAATACAGTGGCAGATGGGGCAGGTAGAGGTGAAGGGTTTCAGAGGAACACTGATAGCGCTCTGCAGGACTAGCTTACAGCAAACCAGACGATTTAAATGTAAAGCAAGCAATCTCATTGGCTGCAGGATCAGCAGAGGCCAATCAGCTTGTGCTGTGAAGTAATTGCTTGCAAATTGCATGTAAATCTATCAGACTACGACCTCTAGAGTTTCATAACTGAACTAGATATAAATAACATTTTCATGGTAATTTTTTTTGAAAACATTATTAAAGACTAGATAACTTTAAAAAAAAAAATCCATTATTATTACTGGAAGAACATTTTGAGAAAACCTTGCCAAAACATTAGCTAAAGTTCTGAGAACGTTCTCTGTTAGCTGGGTGTGTAAAGTGTTTAACCAGTGAAGTACTCTTACCTAAAATGGCCCTCAAACTGACATCTTTTGGCTGTTGCCGAACAGCAGGCCACAGAAACACTTCACCCTTTTCCTTGTGAAGAAGAATAACAACACGTATGCTTCCCATGGTAACGTCCATTTCGTTTCTTTGTAATATCAGTGACACGCTGTTGAAACAGAGAAACTGATGAATGAATTCTACTTCACAGAAAGAAGATAACATACACAAATGCAGTAAAACACTTCTAGTTTGAGGAGTATATACCCCTCTGTATGGTGTTGAGTAGGTTCCTGGTCCCACAAAAACTCAAGATGATTCTGGCCATCTTCATATCTGATGGAGCTTGTGTTTATTGTCAGATGATGGTTTGTTTTGTAATGAAAGGCAATTTGAACGAATCCCTGTCGTCCAGTCATGAATTGTCCATTCATGGAGAACTCTAAGACACACAGAAAGTCAAACTCAATTAAAAAAAGATGACTTCCTAAAGGATGGGCATGAAGAGTAAATGTGTAATAGTTACCTGAAGCAGAATCCTGTAGCAGTCTGAGTTTCTGAGGAGCAGGAATGTCAAAACAAAGTGGCTTAGACTGACCAGCAGCCGGCAGCAGGAACCGATTGATACCAACTCTAGGAACTAAAACATTAGCAAATGCTGTATCATAATTATTTTAGAAAATTGTCTTACATAATAAGTGTTTGATGGATATTTATTTACCTATCATTGCCGGGAGAACACTTTCTTCCTCTGCAACCTCCTCTAGAAATGTGGGCATTGGAGCTAAGAAGGTGCAATTGATCAAATTAGACTTTCTTAAGACAAGGCAGAATCAAAGTTAAAGCGTATTTATACGCACCATAACTGGAGATCTGCATGTGACTTGAATCTAAAAAATGGGGGTTTAGTCATTAATAATTTGCTAACCAAAGCACTCAATAAATAATAGAAAAAGTCCAATGTACCAAAGCATTTTGAAGTAATTAAATAGAAAAATAATAATTATTATTTGTAATTAAATATTATTTTAGTAATTAAAATGTAACGGATATTGTTTTCTCAAATATTTAGGTTTTTTTTTTTTTTCAAAAAAAATACTTTCACAAAAAATATGGTACATTTAAATCATTTTCTTTTCATGATTAAAATGTTTGAAGGGATAGTGAAAATTAAAATGAAGACATAATTAACTCACCCTGGTGTTGTTCTTTCTCTTGTGGACTACAAAAGGAGTGTTTTTTATAAATTTTTATTATAAAAGTAAATTTTTCTAAATAAGATGCTAAGATCGATATTACAAGTTTGATAGGGTTTGATGAAAACAAAACAAAATTGTATGTATTATTTAATGGAAATCCTGACTTGTCTCGACTGCGTGTTTGTGAGACCCTATTAGCCCCGCAGTGCCCAGGAAAAACATACAAGTTGTAAGAAATCAAGATCCATAAAAAATGCAACATGAAATATAATGCCTAGAAATCGCAAAAAGGTATCCATAGACTTTCTCTATGACAGAACTGATGATTTGAACTTGATAACTTCTTGTGACGAACAACAGATATATTCACCTCAAAGAAGAAGGTACATCAATTGTATTTCATGTTGCGTTTTTATTACTCTTATGTTTTTTATGTTTTAATTTATTTATAACAGGACAATGTGCAGTTACATTGAGAAGATGGCTGCACCAGATTTAGCACTATATGCTAATTTCCATCTGTATCTAGATTTCTCACAACACGGGTGTTTTTCTGTGCGAGTTTTCTGTGCGGAGCGCAGTCAAGCACAGAAGACAACGGCCAAGGTCAGGATTTTCACTAAATTATACATTACATTTCATTTTTGCTTTTTATCACACCATAATGCCCCAGAATACTTGGAATATACAACAAATGGGATGGGATCATTCTTTCATGCATTTTTTAAATACTCATTTTTTAGTCCATAAAAGAAAGAAAGGCATTAGAACAACATTAGTGTGAGAAAATGATAACTTCATTTTTATTTTATTTATTCTAATTTCATTCTCTGCACTTTTTTATGTGGATTTTGGTTTTAATAAAGAAAATTTGCAGTAATTCTTTGTAAAAGCAAAGAAACCAGTGATAAACACATTCTCGAGAAAGTATGGGAGTCTTTGTCAACTTTTATTAGAAAAAAATCATACCATGGATCCCTGGATGATCAAGATGTGGAACAGGGAGCGGCAAGGGCAGTCTGCGCAGACCTTGCCCACCGGACAGACGACGCCGACTGTGCGGACCAGGCGGACCAGGCTGACCGCGCAGACCAGGCAGACCGCGCAGACCATAACGGGGACTGAAACGACTATATCCTGGTACTGGGATATAAAACAAATTTTGCATAAGATGAAAAGTGACCCCATCTCATTTTTAAATGCATGTTACTTAAAGCCCTATTTATAGATTTTTGAAAATGACCTTTCATGTAGTGTGTAACATAAGTGAATGAAAACATCTGGCAAAGATTTAAATCTGAAAGTGCACTGTATATATCAGGGTCCCTCAAACTCGGTCAGAAGGACACATACTTTCGTGTCTCGATTCTCCCACGACACAGACACAGTATATTCTCTTTGAGTTAAAGGGACAGGGATGTCAGTACAAAGTCCTCCCCTTTGGGCAGGTAGACCCTAGGTGGACTCTTTTGTTGAAGGTCAGATGTTTGCACACCTTTATAGGTTTGTAAGATAGTAAAACTTCTCAGTTCTCACCTGGTCTGGGTTCCTCTCCTCCCTCTTTGGGTTTGTCTGCAACTTCCACTTCATCTTCCTGTGGCTTCGTGACGACCATAGAGGTGAGGGAGGTGACAAACTGGTATTTTAGGGATAGTTTGAGAGCTTCTTCCTTTTCATCCTCTTTCTCCTGTCCTTTAAGAAGCACTCTGAGACAGAAAGATGTCCTCAATGTCCAACAAAAAAAGCAGAATGTCATATCACTCAATCAACTTACTGCCTTTCCAGAATTTGCTTCACTGTAAGGTAGGCCCACAGTCTCGGCATGAAGTCCTCATTCTCAGGTAAGACATCACTGGGGTCTATTGGCATTACAGTTTCCTGATATGTCACGTTATTGCCTTTCTGCTCAGAAAAAAAAAATCCTAATGGGCATTTTCATCAGTAATGCTGTCATTACCACTTTTTTATCAACAACTTTCTCTGAAAAAAGTGACCATTATTACAAACTCTTAAACAATTGATGATCAATGATCCTAATACACAATATAATGACCTTGGTTGAGACTGCTGAGGTAAAACAGCCCACTCAATCCCTACCAATTTGAGATATTGTAAAACACCATGATGCTCTTACTGATACTGCAATGACTTCAGAGGTGAAACTCTCCACACTGTTGTCTGTGATTTGTCCTGATACCACAATCTCAGAGCCGTTGAAGTACAGGCTAAAGCTGGTCTTGGTAAGGTTTGTCCCTCCTGTGTATTTAAGTTGAATATCACTGAGGAGAGGGACGGCAACTTCGTCATAGAAGCCCTACAATGCAAACCGAAATAAAGGGTTTAAATGCATTCACACGAATTCACAGTCGGATGAATTCACAGTCGGCTGATTCTCTGTCGTTCACCTGCAGCTGTAGATCAGCGTCCGAATCTTCATAAATCCTGCGAGCAAGTCCAGCATTTTCCAATGACATTTGTGTCAGGAAGTCAAAGTTAACATCATATCCAAAACCAAGACAATATAGGGGAAACTTTAGACCAATTGCCTCTTTCACATTGGCCATTATCCTCTCTTTGTTAATTTCACCTGTTTGAGTAGAAACAAGTCGAAAAATAAGACAACCAACAATACATACTTGAAAATCATGAAATTTTTGGAGTGATCAGAAAGCAATGGAATCATTGGACAATTTCATATTTCTTAATCTTTTCTGTTACTGATAAAGAACCAAATTTGGTTATGCTGATAATCTACTGTTCCTTTAATTAACAGGTCTTCTAATTACACTGAGTGAACTAGTGCTAGGATAAAACACATTAGTTTGTGTTTGTCAGTGAATCTGTGCCTGAAGTGGGATCTCCATCAGTCAGCAGGATCAGGATGGAGGCGGTTCCTTCTCGTGGATGTCGATTGATCATGTCCACTCCTGCCAGAACTGCAGCGTTAATGTCTGTGGCTAAAGGAAGAACAAACATAGTTGTGTCATATCGATGTAAAACTTTCTTACTCCCCATTTAGAGTTAGGAATTCACCTCCTCTATCACTGATCATCTTCACAAAAGATTTGGCAATCTCCAGGTTTTCCTCGGTAGCTTTCAAGAGTTCATTCTTCCATGTTTTAATTTCACTGTCAAAAGTGATCAATCCAAAGTGGTCATCTTCATCAAGATCACCTAAAATCTTTAGCAGTGCCAAACGAGTCTAAAGAAAAAGACTTTCTTTAAGTTATTCTTTCTTTATGACCAGTATTGTTAAACAAAGTAACTCCACAATGATTTTAATACATAAATCCCTGTTATTTTAGCATATTAATGCACAATGCTGTTAGATCCTTCAAAAATGGCATAAAAAATGCATTGCTTGTCATTTCCTTTTTATTGATTTGGCTGAACTTGACGTTGATATTTACCTGATGTATTTTTCTACCGTTCATAGAACCGCTCCGGTCAATGATAAAAACCACATTTTTGGGAATACGTGGAACATCAGAGGGTGCAAAGAAGTGGACAAAATAGCCATTTGACACCTTAGAGAAAAAAAAGTAAATTCTGAATATCATTCAAGTCTTTTTACATAGTCAGTTTTTTTTTAATAATTTGGAAACTATATTTTACTCTCATTAAGTATGTTATTGAAAAATGTACCATGACTTCTCCTTTTTGATTTGATCTATCTACATCGTATGTTATAAGCAGGTCACCATTCAGTCCATTTTCTCCACAGCTTTTACACTTGGTCTGTTGATCTCGAGTGGGGTAGAAGGTCACCCATGCCTGAAATGATCAGTTTGCTCATCTGGTAACTTAATTTAGCATAATGAGAACATTTAAGCTAAGTGTTTTACCCCTCATTTTAAGCTCTTACGTCTTTGTCTGCTCTGGTGGTTTTGATGGCATTGGCCAGATCACCGGTGCTCAAATCTCCTTTCACCTCCAAGAAGGAAATTCCTGGTTTCTCTTGTATGTGAATATCAATCTAAAGTGAGGTAAAGAAATATGATCTTTCTATCCAGCTTAAGTTATGATCTATTTCCCAGTTTGTTTCTTCTCCTACCTTAAAGTCTGCCACCGGCTGCATCGGTTGGGTATTGATGAGGAGCTCATATTTGCCAAGGCGACGCTTTAGCAGTTCTTCGTAGGTCAACTCAAAAGTCACTTTACTAAAAGCAGCCACCGTCACTGAAGTTTTAAAGTCTTCTAAAGTCCTTCCAACAGATCTGAAATGGAAATGAATCCCAGTATATTAGTAAACATGCTATTAAAACACATTTAATTGATCTATTATTGTTTATGTCCAGTACTTGATCAGTCCAGCACTTTCTCCTCGAGATACTGCTCGACTGTACTGTTGCTGAGCTTCCTGCTTTTCCTTCACAACACCATCATATATCGTCCCCTCTATGGTCCTATGGAGAAAATGATAATGACATCTTCTTAATATGTGTATCTCAGAGATATTGCATAAAATAATTTATAAATATTTATTTTGTTGTTGTTTAGCTGCATTAGCCGACATGGCCTAAAACCAACATGATACATTTTGCTACACTAACATGTTTATATAACACAACTTATGTTTCCCTACATTCTGAATTTGCTGATGAAGGCATTCTTGGGTATCTTGACCTCGAACTGGATCTCTTGAGATTCATTCACTGTGTTCGCCACACGGCTTGTGATGACGGTTGTGGCGTAGCGACTGGTGACCGTGGAGTTTATGTAGAAGCTGTATATATACACATTTTGTTTCTGTTGAGACACCAAACAGTACAGTCAGATTGGATAGCATAATTACTCCTCCTTTTTGTTTGGGATTGTTCAAATATTTACTGTTTGAAAATGGCATGGAGAAAAGGCCTTTGGACTACATCTCAGTGTAAACTATTGAGTAATAGATTGTTCTCTTTACTCAGTTTAAATAATACCCTGCTGTTCAAACGTCTGTAAGAATTTTTTTTTTTAAAGAAGTCTTTCATGCTCACCATTTATTTGATCTAATATACACTAAAATCAGTAAATTAGTTTTCTATCATATTACATTTTAAAATGTAATTTATTTCCATGATCAAAGCTTAATTTTCAGCATCATAAATCCAGTGTTCAGTCTCACATGATCCTTCAGAAATTATTCTAATATGCTGATTTGCTGCTTAAGAAACATTTCTTATTAGTGTTAAAAAAAACTTTAAAAAAAAACTGCTAAATTATTTTTTGTGGAAAACATGAAAAAATTTTTAAAGGATTTTTTGATTATGTTTAAAACAGCTTTTATTTAAAATAGAAATCTTTTGTAAGTAACATTGCAAATATCTAGAACGTCATTTTTGATCATAAAAAGTATTAATTGACATCAAACCATTTAATGAATAAATAAATCTAATTTGTCTGGACCTTCATCTCAAATACAAATAATGAATCTCTTTTTTAGAATTTTGATATATTTTTTATCTTAAACTGAGCGTTGACCCTCACCTTCTTTACAGGTTCTTGTGAACTGGCTGAGATGAGAAAAACACCCAAGAGTATCAGTCTGAGAGCTGCTCGATCCATCATGACCTACTCAGAAAGCAGACCTCGAAAAACACACTGCCTATAAACTCCTGTCCACATCATGTGATTGGCTATTATTGACCGGATGAAGAAACCTCCCCCACTATATTTAATTTGAGTCTCTTGAACCCCTCAAAAGTCAATATTGATGCATTTAGAAAATAGATTTGTAAATTTGTAAATACTTAACACTCTGTAGAATTTCCCTGCTGTATTTTTATTTTATTATCAGACATGACCTCAAAAAATACATACTTAGGCATACAGAAATAATACTTAGAAAGGCACCAATCAAAGGGTTGCTATGTATACATACAATTTCTGGTGTGAAATTTAATAGCTATTTCATCAAATGGTTTGCCAGCTAAAGCCCAATTGCATATGTGTGAGCAAAGAAAATAATATTGATAAACATTCAAAGACATGGTGCCACAAATATCGAAAATTAATGAAATTGTGAGTAATAATTCCAGCACCCTAAAGCAGAGGGAAATGATGGCAAAGATGGGAATAACATAGATTTTTGTTCAACCATTTCCATATTGAGGTCAGCATGATAAAACATAATATAAATGCTTATGTAAATTTTGCTGAACTCTACAACTGAGTGACAGCGAAGTCAGAGAGCTTCCGCTGCGCAACAACCTGGAATGGTACAAGCCAACATCCAACAACAGGTGCAGAAGGAAGTCTGTAGTCCCTCACCATCACCCTGAAATGAACAAGATACATTTAAAATGCATATGCCAAAATACATGGATGTTTTATAGATGTTCCATTATTTGTTTGTTTTTTGATTACCAAGAGGTCTTCACTTCCTTGTCCTTTAACTTTAAAGTTGGTGTTTGTGATCCTGGGATCTCCTCATATTTAATATCAGCTTCTCCTTTAAATATTATCCACAGATGTTGTTATTATTTGTCTTGTGTTGGTTTAATAACCACCATCATCATTTAAAGACCATCTTTGCTATAAGTAGAAATTAAGTGTTGTTTCATAATGTATAAATGATTGATTAGTGACACTCTTACCTAAAATTCCTGTCAAACCGACATCTTTTGGCTGTTGCCTGATTGCAGGCCACAGAAATACGTCATATTTTTTATGAAGAAGAATGACAATGCGAATGTTTCCCATGGTAACGTCCATTTCATTACTTTGTAGAATCAGAGACACACTGATGACAAAGAGTAAAGAACGATGACTATAATGTTACCGATAATGGTAAAGTTTTATTAATCATTCTAATTCTGCAGTATGAGAATAGAGAAGTTCAATAATACACATTTGCATAGTGTCATAGAAGATGGCCGAAGCCACCACGGAGTCATAAAAAGTCTTAAGGAGGGGCCCTGTCACTCCAAAGGACCTCAACCTCCTCAGGAAGTACAGCCTGCTCTGACCCCTCTTATACAGAGCATTAGTGTTATGAGTCCAATCCAGCTTGTTATTTAAGTGAACACAGGTGTTCACTTAAATAACAAGCTGGATTGGACTCATAACACTAATGCTCTGTATAAGATCCTACTTTAACACAGGAATACCAAGGTACACTGGGAAGCATATCCCGGAAGGGACATGCAACAAAATGCCTACCGAAGGGAGGACTTAAGAATACACATATGGCCGTGTTAGGGACTACATATGGAGATCACTTGATCACCAACCTACGGGTGGCAAGAACTTAGCTCCAGGTGTGGCAGATGGCTTGCCAAGGGAAGACACATGCTCAGAGAGGCTTACAGTGGAAAATACACATGAGACAGTTACCGGAGGGAACCGTGCACATGGAGGCACCTAGCCAGCACCAGAGCAATAGCAGTGGTGCCCGCATCATGGGTGCTGGAGGACTCAGGGCTTCAACGGAAGACTCAGCTGAGGAATATCGCACTTATCCAGTCTCTGGGGAGTGGAATGGCGAGCAAGCGAAGACACCTAAGCAGGTCCAGTACCGGCGGAAGCAAATACGCGAGAGGACACTGGTTCAATTCGCAGATTATAGAATCTTGCGAAGGTGTATGGTGTCGCCCAGCCTGCAGCTCTACAGATGTCTGTCAGCAAGGCGCCATGCGCTAAAGCCCAAGAGGAAGCCACACTCCGAGTGGAGTGGGCCGTCACACCAAGGGGGCACGGTTGACCTTGCTGTTGGTAAGCCAAAGCAATGGTGTCCACTACCCAGTGAGACAGCCGTTGCTTTGAGAGAGCTCTTACCTTCTGGCTCCCCCCATAACAGACAAGAGCTGGTCTGAGGTCCTGAAACACCGCGTTCTGTCGACGTAGGCACGGAGCGCACATACTGGACAGAGCAGTGCCAAGGCTGGGTCTGCCTCCTCCAGGGGCAGCGCTTGCAGGTTCACCACCTGGTCCCGGAAGAGTAAGCCGGCCCGAAACTCCATGCACGCTTCGTCAACGGAGAATGCGTGCAGGTCCCCCACCCTCTTGAGGAGGCCAATGCAACCAGGAGTGCTGTCCTCATAGGACAGAACTTAACTCTACCGATTGCAAAGGCTCAAGGGGAGGCCTCTGCAGAGCACTTATATCTACTGAGAGGTCCCAAGAGGGCACGAGGGGAGGGCGAGGCGGATTTCGCCTCCACGCTCCCCTCAGGAACCTGATGACCAGGTCATGCTTCCCATAGACTTGCCTATCACTGCATCATGAGACGCGGCAATGGCCGCGACGTAAACCTTAAGGGTGGAGGGCGACAGCCTATGGTCCAACCCTTCTTGCAGGAAGGAAGCACGACACCGACCGAACATCTCCGGGGGTCTTCTCCGAGAGAAGAGCACCAGTCGACGAAGAGGTTCCACTTCAACGCGTAAAGGTGTCTCGTGGACGGCGCTCTAGCGGAAGTGATGGTTGCCGCCACCACAGGTGGCAGCGAACTCAAACCTGTCTCGTCCTGTCCAGGAGCCACACGTGTAGCCTCCAGAGATCGGGACGAGGGTGCCACAGAGTGCCCCGTCTCTGAGTGAGTAGATCTTGTCTCAGAGGAATAGGCCAAGGAGGTGCTGTCGCGAGGAGCATGAGTTCGGAGAACCACGTCTTGGTGGGCCAATAAGGGGCTACCAGCAAGACCTGCTCCTCGTCCTCCTTGATCTTGCACAACACCCGTGCAAGCAGGCTCACTGGGGGAAAAGCATTCTTGCGTGGGCCCCGCGGCCAGCTGTACGCCAGTGCATCTGTGCCGAGCGTGCCCTCGGACAGGGAAAAAAAAACTGGGCGCAGTGGGATGAGTCCCAAGAGGCGAACTGATCTATCTGTGCCTCCCCGAACTGGTCCCAAATCAGCTGGACCGTCTGGGGATGGAGTCGCCATTCGCCGGAGACAGGGCGGACCCGTGACAGCTCGTCGGCCGCCAGGTTCCGGTCTCCTGGAATGTATACTGCACGAAGGGACCTCAGGTGCTTCTGACTCCATATCAGGAGGTGGCGGGCGAGCTGCGACAACCGACGTGAGCGTAGACCACCCTGGTGGTTGATGTACGCTACTGTAGCGGTATTGTCTGACCGGACAAGTACGTGTTGACCCCTGAGCAGTGCTCGAAAGTGGTGCAGGGCCAGGCGTACTGCCAGCAGCTCGAGGCAATTGATGTGCATGAGGCGCTGGGGTCCTGTCCAGGAACCCGCGGCTGCATGCCCATTGCACATGGCACCCCAACCCGTGGTAGAGGCATCCGTGGAGACCACGAGATGCCTGGAAACTCGCTGAAGAGGGACACCGGCCCGTAAAGCTGAGGTTCGACCACAGGAAGAAGGTTTGGCGGCACGCTGGAGTCACTGGAACTCTGAGCGAGCCGCGATGCCATGCCCACCTCGGGACTCGATCGCGAAGCCACAGCAGAAGCGGTCTCATATGAAGCAAACCGAGCGGCGTTGCCGCAGCTGCGGATGCCATATGCCCCAGGAGCCTCTGAAAAAGTTTCAGTGGGACCACACTCTTGCCCTCGAACTGTCAAAGACAAGTCAGCAGTGAGTGCGCGCGCTCGTTCGTGAGCTGCGCGGACATGGCGACCATGCCGAGAAAAGGGCAAAGTTTGCTCTTCTCCCGGTTGACCCGAAGGCCCAGACGGGGTAGGTGCCGGAGCACCAGGTCTCTGTGTTCGCAACCTGTTCTCAAGAGTGCGCCAGTAACAGCCAATCGTCGAGATAGTTCAGGATGCGAACCCCGTGTTCACGAAGGGGAACAAGGGCTGCCTCTGTGATCTTCGTGAAGACGCGAGGTGACAGAGCTAACCCAAAAGGGAGAACCGTGTACTGATATGCCTGGCCTCGAGGCAAACCGAAGAACGGTCTGTGTCGAGGCAAGATGGAGACATGAAAAGTACGCGTCCTTCAGGTCGATCGCTGCAAACCAATCCTGAGGCCGGACGCATTCGAAAATGCGTTTGGCTATGAGCATTTTGAACGGTAGTCAAAGGAGAGTACGGTTCAAAATGCGCAGATCCAGGATCGGTCGTAACCCACCGGTGTTCTCGGGGACAGTGAAGTAGGGGCTGTAAAACCCGGACCTCACCTCGGCTGGAGGGACCGTCTCGATTGTACCCTTCGCCAGCAGGGCCGCAATCTCCGCTCTCATGACCGGGGCATTGCCACCGACCATAGAGGAGCGAACTCCCCTGAACGGGGAGGAGACCGTGCGAACTGAGTCGCGTAGCCGAATCTAAACGTTCTGATGACCCAGCGGGACAGGTCGGGGAGCTCTAGCCAAGCTCTCAGGAACTGAACCAGCAGAGTCATGTGAACCACAGACGTCCCCCCGGAGGGGCAGCGGTACGGGGAGACCGGCATGCGCACAGGAGTTACCCCGTGCGGCTGGACAGTCGAGCCCCATTCCCCGACAGAAGAGACCAGGGAAGGACGCACGTTCCACGGGGGTCTGTTCTGCCGGGGGTCTGGCGATAGAGGCGGAGGGGAGTGGTGTAGTCGAGGGACGACACATGCTCCCATCCGCACCCTCAGAGACAGAGAGGAATGAGCGGGGCGACGCACTGGATGTCGTGCGCGCTCATTCCAGTCTGTGTGCTCAATGATAGTGTCAAGTTCTTCTTCAACAAGCTCAGGGCGCTGCTCAATCGTGGGTGAGCAGCGTGGAGCTAGAACAAAAGATTCTCCCCCGGCCCTCCACCGGGGGAAGGAGGGGCCCTGCTACCGCCTCCTATGAAAAACCGTGACACTATCACTGAGCAGCCCGCCTCAGGAACATCGCTTCGCCTGGCGTTAGCGGGGCACGCGGCCTGAGGGGGCTGTGACGCTCACCTTTGGCCTCCTCCGCGACGCGAACCGGCTGAAGACTGCTGCTGGGGCCGCATGGGAGGGAAGGGAGCCGCAGGGGGGCATCCTCGGCGGCGAGCAGGCGGAGGCATCTGAGCCAACGGCTGGGTGGAGGCAGCAGCTGGCCGTCGGGGCAGAAGTGTAAACCCGCCTCCGTCTGTTCCTAGGCGGTCGAGAACTGCTGGGCAAAGTCCTGGACCGCACCGACGAAACACCCAGGCACACAGAGCAGCGATCGTGACCATCAGAAAATGACATGAATCGATCGCACCCAGAAGAACACGGGCGAATCGTCTTTAAAAAGACGTGCCGCGTGCAGCTCTTTCACTAGAGAGGAGGAAATTCACTCTTTCAGCACTGAGGCGACCAGAGAGAAGCGCAAAATCTGGCAGACCACTGCTCAGATCGCAGGCAATGCAGAGTCTCGCTGGGTACCGCCGTCACACCAACACTGAAGAGGATGCTCGTCTCGAAGAGTCTTGAATCAGTGAGAATGGTTTGAGGAGTGAAGAAATCTCTTGGCTCCGAAGCGAAAACATACTGCGGTTGCGTTCACTTCCTCCTTTTATACCCACGGGGTGGGGCGGAGTGACGCTATGCAAATTCCGCAGCCCCAAGGCATTTCATGCCATTGGCTCGTTATTAAATACTCGAAGGAGATTGGCTTTCTATGCGAAACCCCCATTATTCGTCACTTCTGACGTAACTCGAAGTGACTACGAAAGGGAACTGCAGTATGCTTACAGAGTGTTACAATTCATTGGTGTTGAAGCTAATATAGCTCATTATAGTTATCGTTCTTGATGTGACTGGGCCTTAACTGATGAATGCATTCTTCTTTAACGTCACAAAAACTGAATTGTAAAATTCTCAAAAACATTTGAACACAATATACGTTTTTTAAAGTAAAAAAATATATAAAAAAAATATTCTTAAAAACAGTTTAAGCATATTACTGTTCATTCTTGTGGTGGGTGTAGTCTTGATTCCATGAAAACTTCACAGTGTCCTGTCCATCAAAGTAGGTAATCTCACTAGTGCTGAGCAGCAGACGGTGATTGGTTTTGTAATGAACTGCAATCTGACTAAAGCCTTTCCCAGACTCAAGTTGCCCATTCATAGAAAAAACTGAAGAGTAGACAAACATCACAGTGAGATTGTGCTTAAATAGAGATGAAAAAATAAAAGCAATTGATTAATAATGATATTTCATATTTTTAACTAAAATGTAGTAGGAAATGTTGGATATCTGACCTGATAGGTCATTTTGTAGGAGTCTGACTTTCTGAGGAAGAGAAACATCGTAACAAAGTGGCTTAGCATTACCAGAAGATTTCAAAATCCTAATGCTCTTCACTGAAGAACCAAAAGAGAAAGAAGAAATGAACATAGTGAAATATGATGTCAGAAAAGTATATGCACTATACAAGATAAATAAATAATGATAAAAAGACATGGAGGAGAGAATGAAAATCTGTACTGGTATACTGAAAAGAAAACTTTAATATGAAAAAAGTTTTCATTTTCTTATTACTGTAACTGAGTCATGGTGTCCTCACATATCCTAAAATATCAAAAAGATAGTTCACTTTGAAATTAATTTTTGATTTTTGATAAATTGTTTCGTATTTTGACACAAAGTGTAACAATATATCTTTATCAGTGCAGCTACATTAAATTTGAACAATTTAGAGCTAAGCTTTTGCAGTCCAAGTTGATGCGAAAAGATGAAGTTACTGCCCTCAGAAGTTCAGGTAAGTTTTACTTGCTGTTTGGATAAATAAATAGCTCACTGTTTATTTTTTTCCTAGGTGGATAGGGCTGCTATGCATTTGCACCCAAGTCAGACCTGTCTGTTATTGGCTAAAGCGCAGGGCTCCACCGCAGTAGTTTGAAAAGTGTCTGACAAATGCCAGCTCGCCCTGTTTCTCCATCGGCACATTTGTCAAAGTAGCCTTTTGGTGAAAAATAAAAGTAGTGAAGTTGAATACTTTATTTTTTTTCAACTCAAGTAAAAAGTACCACAATTTCCTTAGAAAGAAAGTGGAAAAATATTTAAAATCTTTTGAAATACTGTAATGAAAGTATTTGTAATTTGTTACTTTCCTAACGGTAATAGAAAGCGACATACAATACCTTTTTTTCGCCCCATATGAGGCCCGGCCGCACCAGCCGCACCATCAGGCCCGGCCGCACCATCAGGCCCGGCCGCACCATGAGGCCCTGTTAAAACAGTGTAAGATTGTAAGATTTTTTAATGTTTTTGAAATACAGTAAGTCTTTTATACTTAGTTCTACTCACCAAAGCTGCATTTATTTGATAAAAAAATACAGTAAAAAAGAGCAATATTGTGAAATATCATTACAATTTAAAATAACTCTTTTTATGTTTTAATAAATTATTATAAAATGTCATTTATTCCTGTGATCAAAGCTGAATGTTCAGCATCATTACTCCAGTCGTCAGTGTCACATGATCCTCCACAAATCATATTAATATGCTGCTTTGCAGCTCAAGAAACATATTATCAATGTTGGAAACTGTTGTGCTGCTTAATATTTTTGTGGAAACAAAATGATAAAAGTGTTTTTTAGGTTTCTATTATGAATTTATTATGTCTTTACTGTCACCTTTGCTCAATTTTCACATCCCGAAAGCATTAAAACAATCTTATTATTGACCCCAAACTTTTGAACAGCATAGCAAGTGATATATTGTGTGGCAAATGCATATTACAAAAAGTCACAATTTTCTCAAATTAAGAAATGATCATATTGTTTTAGTAGGTCTTTATGTGCTTTATGCTGTTTGTGTTGTTGTTGTTTTTTTTTTTATGTCGGAACAGGGTTGGAAAGTAAATAACCCCGCAGACCTTCCATTGCTGGACTAAGACGTTCATTTTGCTGCTATGGAGAAACAATGCTCTGCCAAATATCATGGTGTGAAGATTATTCTGATATAACAAATACATATCCAACAGATCTTTTTCTTTATTTGATCTTCCCAGGTGAACAAGATGTAGTATTAAATGTATACAAAATATATATTTGAAATTCAAGTAGTATGTTTAATACTTTTGTATTAACGTTACTTGTCTGTGCTGTGCCATTTGTATTTTGACACAAAGTGTAACAACATATCTTTTTCAGTGCAGCTACATTAAATTTGACCAATTTAGAGCTAAGCTTTTGCAGTCCAAGTTGATGCGAAGAGATGAAGTTACAGCCCTCAGAAGTTCAGGTAAGTTTATTTGCTGTTTGGATAAATAAATAGCTCACTGTTTATTTTTTCCCTAGGTGGATAGGGCTGCTATGCATTTGCACCCAAGTCAGACCTGTCTGTTATTGGCTGAAGTGCAGGGCTCCACCGCAGGAGTTTGAAAAGTGTCTGATAAATGCCAGCTCGCCCTGTTTCTCCATCGGCACATTTGTCAAAGTAGCCTTTTGGTGAAAAATAAATGTAGCGAAGTTGAATGCTTTATTTTTTTTTTCAACTCAAGTAAAAAGTACCACAATTTCCTTAGAAAGAAAGTAGAAAAATGTTTAAAATCTTTTGAAACACTGTATTGAAAGTATTTGCAATTAGTTACGTTCCTAACGGTAATAGAAAGGGACATACAAAACCTTTTTTTCGCGCCTGATGAGGCCCGGCCGCACCATGAGGCCCGGACACACCAGCTGCACCATGAGGCCCGGCCGCACCATGAGGCCCTGTTATAACAGTGTAAGATTGTAAGATTTTTTAATGTTTTTGAAATAAGTCTTTTATACTTAGTTCTACTCACCAAAGCTGCATTTATTTGATAAAAAAATACAGTAAAAAGAACAATATTGTGAAATATCATTACAATTTAAAATAACTCTTTTTATGTTTTAATATATTATTATAAAATGTAATTTATTCCTGTGATCAAAGCTGAATGTTCAGCATCATTACTCCAGTCTTCGGTGTCACATGATCCTCCACAAATCATATTAATATCCTGCTTTGCTGCTCAAGAAACATATTATCAATGTTGGAAACTGTTGTGCTGCTTAATATTTTTGTGGAAACAAAATGATAAAAGTGTTTTTTAGGATTCTATTATGAATTTTAAAATGTCTTTACTGTCACCTTTGCTCAATTTGTTCATCCCGAAAGCATTAAAACAATCTTATTATTGACCCCAAACTTTTGAACAGCATAGCAAGTGATATATTGTGTGGCAAATGCATATTACAAAAAGTCACAATTTTCTCAAAATAAGAAATGATCATATTGTTTTAGTAGGTCTTTATGCGCTTTATGCTGTTTGTGTTGTTGTTGTTGTGTTTTTTTTATGTCGGAACAGGGATGGAAAGTAAATAACCCTGAAGACCTTCCATTACTGGACTAAGACGTTCATTTTGCTGCTATGGAGAAACAATGCTCAGCCAAAAATCATGGTGTGAAGATTATTCTGATATAACAAATACATATCCAACAGATCTTTTTCTTTATTTGATCTTCCCAGGTGAACAAGATGTAGTATTAAATGTATACAAAATATATATTTGAAATTCAAGTAGTATGTTTAATACTTTTGTATTAACGTTACTTGTCTGTGCTGTGCCAGTTGTATTTTGACACAAAGTGTAACAATATATCTTTATCAGTGCAGCTACATTAAATTTGAACAATTTAGAGCTAAGCTTTTGCAGTCCAAGTTGATGCGAAAAGATGAAGTTACTGCCCTCAGAAGTTCAGGTAAGTTTATTTGCTGTTTGGATAAATAAATAGATCACTGTTTATTTTTTTCCTAGGTGGATAGGGCTGCTATTCATTTGCACCCAAGTCAGACCTGTCTGTTATTGGCTGAAGCGCAGGGCTCCACCGCAGTAGTTTGAAAAGTGTCTGATAAATGCCAGCTCGCCCTGTTTCTCCATCGGCACATTTGTCAAAGTAGCCTTTTGGTGAAAAATAAATGTAGCGAAGTTGAACGCTTTATTTTTTTTTCAACTCAAGTAAAAAGTACCACAATTTCCTTAGAAAGAAAGTAGAAAAATGTTTAAAATCTTTTGAAACACTGTAATGAAAGTATTTGCAATTAGTTACTTTCCTAACGGTAATAGAAAGGGACATACAATACCTTTTTTTCGCCCCTTATGAGGCCCGGCCGCACCAGCCGCACCATGAGGCCCGGCCGCACCATGAGGCCCTGTTATAACCGTGTAAGATTGTACGATTTTTTTATGTTTTTGAAATAAGTCTTTTATACTTAGTTCTACACACCAAAGCTGCATTTATTTGATAAAAAATACAGTAAAAAAGAGCAATATTGTGAAATATCATTACAATTTAAAATAACTCTTTTTATGTTTTAATATATTATAAAATGTCATTTATTCCTGTGATCAAAGCTGAATGTTCAGCATCATTACTCCAGTCGTCAGTGTCACATGATCCTCCACAAATCATATTAATATCCTGCTTTGCTGCTCAAGAAACATATTATCAATGTTGGAAACTGTTGTGCTGCTTAATATTTTTGTGGAAACAAAATGATAAAAGTGTTTTTTAGGATTCTATTATGAATTTTAAAATGTCTTTACTGTCATCTTTGCTCAATTTTCACATCCCGAAAGCATTAAAACAATCTTATTATTGACCCCAAACTTTTGAACAGCATAGAAAGTGATATATTGTGTGGCAAATGCATATTACAAAAAGTCACAATTTTCTCAAAATAAGAAATGATCATATTGTTTTAGTAGGTCTTTATGCGCTTTATGCTGTTTGTGTTGTTGTTGTTGTTTTTTTTATGTCGGAACAGGGTTGGACAGTAAATAACCCCGCAGACCTTCCATTACTGGACTAAGACGTTCGTTTTGCTGCTATGGAGAAACAATGCTCAGCCAAATATCATGGTGTGAAGATTATTCTGATATAACAAATACATATCCAACAGATCTTTTCTTTATTTGATCTTCCCAGGTGAAAAAGATGTAGTATTAAATGTATTCAAAATATATGTTTGAAATTCAAGTAGTATGTATAATACATTGGTATTAACGTTACTTGTCTGTGCTGTGCCAGTTGTATTTTGACACAAAGTGTAACAACATATCTTTTTCAGTGCAGCTACATTCAATTTGACCAATTTAGGGCTAAGCTTTTGCAGTCCAAGTTGATGCGAAGAGATGAAGTTACTGCCCTCAGAAGTTCTAGTAAGTTTTATTTGCTGTTTGGATAAATAAATAGCTCACTGTTTATTTTTTTCCTAGGTGGATAGGGCTGCTATGCATTTGCACCCAAGTCAGACCTGTCTGTTATTGGCTGAAGCGCAGGGCTCCACCGCAGTAGTTTGAAAAGTGTCTGACAAATGCCAGCTCGCCCTGTTTCTCCATCGGCACATTTGTCAAAGTAGCATTTTGGTGAAAAATAAATGTAGCGAAGTTGAATACTTTATTTTTTTTCAACTCAAATAAAAGTACCACAATTTCCTTAGAAAGAAAGTAGAAAAATATTTAAAATATTTTGAAATACTGTAATGAATGTATTTGTAATTAGTTACATTCCTAACGGTAATAGAAAGGGACATACAATACCTTTTTTTCGCCCCATATGAGGCCCGGCCGCACCAGCTGCACCATGAGGCCCGGCCACACCACGAAGCCCTGTTAAAATAGTGTAAGATTGTAAGATTTTTTAATGTTTTTGAAATAAGTCTTTTATACTTAGTTCTACTCACCAAAGCTGCATTTATTTGATAAAAAATACAGTAAAAAAGAGCAATATTATGAAATATCATTGCAATTTAAAATAACTCTTTTTATGTTTTAATAAATTATTATAAAATGTCATTTATTCCTGTGATCAAAGCTGAATGTTCAGCATCATTACTCCAGTCTTCAGTGTCACATGATCCTCCACAAATCATATTAATATCCTGCTTTGCTGCTCAAGAAACATATTATCAATGTTGGAAACAGTTGTGCTGCTTAATATTTTTGTGGAAACAAAATGATAAAAGTGTTTTTTAGAATTCTATTATGAATTTTAAAATGTCTTTACTGTCACCTTTGCTCAATTTGTTCATCCCGAAAGCATTAAAACAATCTTATTATTGACCCCAAACTTTTGAACAGCATAGCAAGTGATATATTGTGTGGCAAATGCATATTACATAAAGTAACAATTTTCTCAAAATAAGAAATTATCATATTGTTTTAGTAGGTCTTTATGCGCTTTATGCTGTTTGTGTTGTTGTTGTTTTTTTATGTCGGAACAGGGTTGGAAAGTAAATAACCACAAAGACCTTCCATTACTGGACTAAGACGTTCGTTTTGCTGCTATGGCGAAACGTCTCGGTTACATATGGTAACCCTCGTTCCCTGAGGGAGGGAACGGAGACGTAGGTCAGACTGACCTATAGAAATCTCGTTAGAGAGCCAATTTACTTCAAGTGAATCTAAAACAAGCCAATGCACATTGGCGTGCAATCATTTGCAACAGCTGCGCGTCCTCGTCAGCGCGGGTATATAATGGTTGTGTGATTGCACTTCAGTTTTTTGCAGAGGAGCCAAACTTGGGAAGCTGGCCCCCGGCAGGCAGCAGCAGATGTGGCGACGGGACCTACGTCTCCGTTCCCTCCCTCAGGGAACGAGGGTTACCATATGTAACCGAGACGTTCCCTATCGGTCAGTCACTACGACGTAGGTCAGACTGACCTATAGGAATCTCTACCAAAGCGCCACAGTCGCTGCACCCCATCCAGCGCCCCATGCAAGCCTCTGCACCTTCTTGCCTGGAAGGACGATAGGAGCAGGGTTACACAGAGAGTGTCTGACACTGTTGTTCCTTTACAACCCCTACAGTGAGACTTGGATAACACTGGGAAAACGTGCCCTTTTAGAGGGAGGGGAACGCGGCGGAACCCACTTTCTTCAGAGAGGTTTGTGGAAAATACACATTGACTAACCCGAAGGCTGTACTGCATATGATATAACAGGTGACTTAACCCAAGAGAAAGACATGGGCTCCCGACTTAGGAGCAGCCGTGGAACATATACACATATGGGATCCCCGAAGGGTCGCACATATGGAACCCAGCCCGAGTCCGGCTCTCAAGGATTCAGCGGACAGGGGCCTGGTTCCGGACGCTCCGCCATGTCCGGGCCGAGGGGTGTTGGAGGACTCGACAGGTTTTTCACTCTGGAGCAATAAGGTTGCACAGTAGGGTGCAGCAAGCCGACACGTTTAGGGAGAGAACACGGGAGGAGACCGGCTCTACACGTAAGCTATAGTATCTAGCGAACGTGTTAGGTGTCGCCCAGCCCGCAGCTCTACAGATATCTGTTAGCGAGGCGCCACGAGCCAGCGCCCAGGAGGATGCAACGCCTCTCGTGGAGTGTACATGCAACCTGAGCGGGCAGGGGACACCTTGAGCTTGGTAAGCCTAGGCGATGGCATCCACTATCCAGTGGGCCATCCTCTGCTTGGAGACAGCCTTTCCCTTCTGCTGGCCTCCGTAACAGACAAAGAGCTGGTCTGAGGTCCTGGTGCTTTGAGTTCTGTCCACGTACATACGCAGAGCGTGAACGGGACAGAGCAAAGGCTGGGTCTGCCTCCTCCAAGGACAGCGCTTGTAGATTCACTATCTGGTCTCTAAAGGGAGTGGTAGGAACCTTGGGCACATAGCCAGGCCGGGGTCTTAATACCACGTGGCTGTCACCCGGCCCGAACTCTAGGCACGATTCGTCAACCGAAAATGCGAAAATATCCGAAAAAAATCCGAAAATACAGAGGCCAATGCAACCAACAGCAAAGTCTTCATGGAAAGAAGCTTTAAGTCCACTGATTGCAAAGGCTCAAAGGGAACGTCCTGAAATGCTCGGAGCACCAGGGAAAGATCCCAAGAGGGTATGGAGGGGGGTCGAGTAGGCTTGCAACGGTAGTCGGTATTACCGGTGTTCAGTCGCAACACCGGTTTCATGACATGCCCACCACGGCACCGCGGTTGGCATGTGAAAAAAAAAGTTTAAAGCCTTAAAAATATTGAACGCAATTACGCAGTAGTCGTTAAATCGTGCCTATTAACACACACGCGACCCACAGAAAAGACGCGTGTCGGTATCGAATTCTCTTTCGGGCTTGAACAAACCACAACACACACAAATTATGCCAAAATGTCCATAAGAGCAGTCTTAAACGAACGTAGAGATTTGTGAGAAAATGGGAGGCGTGTCAGATCGCGTCTCTGTCAGCAACGGCTGTCCTAATGCGCTCAGTCGTTTTTACTTACTCCTTCTCATTCACTCCTTCAAGTGAACAGTATTAGTGGACTAATGTAGGGAATAGGCCAAGTAAATGAGTGTTTAGGGGGCGATTTCGGATTCAACCCATGTTCTCAAGCAGTGAAAAATAGAGGACACTGACAACGTGTTGACAGACAGGACCGAGCAGGTAATATTCAATATGAAACAGTCTCAACTTTCAAATTTGGTCAGTCAAAGAAAATCAAACAATAAATAGGCCTACCGTTTTGTGGCTCTTTAATGTGTCGTGACAGATTGCCTGATAAAGCCAAGTTCCACCAATGTTAATCTACTAACTCTCCTGACTGCTTTGTCGGACAAAAATGGTGGATTTCAGATGGTCAGATCACTGTCAATCAAAAGTTAGTTTCGTTTTCAAACTAGTGCATATTCAGGGCACCATAACAAAACTGTTTTTTCCCGCACTACCGCACCGTTATGTATGCCTGTGAAAACGTGCGCATTTTACGTTTGCCTTTAAATTAGCGATTTAACAGCCCCCGCTGGTGACACCGGTATTACCGGTGTTCTCACACGTCGATTAACCGGTGAGAAAATATCCTCACCGTCACAACCCTAGGGTCAAGGAGGACTTAGTCGTCTCGCCCCCCTAAGAAAAATGATGACCAGGTCGTGCTTTCCAACTGTTTTGCCATCGATGTGGTCGGGATAAGCTGAAATAGCAGCAGCATGGACTTTGAGGGTGGAGGGAGACAGTTTTCGCTCCAACCCTTGCTGCAAGAAGGAAAGCATGGACCTTATCAAACATCTTCAGGAGTCTTCTCAGCGAGAAGAGCACCACTCGACGAACAGGTTCCACTTCAGGGCGTAGACACGTCTCGTGGACGGCGCCCGTGCTGAAGTGATGGTGTTAAGTACCTCTGGGGGTAAGTCACCTAGAACCTCCGCGTCCCGTCCACGGACCAGACATGGAGTTTCCAGAGGTCTGGACGTGCGTGCCATAAGGTGCCCCGTCTCTGAGTCAGAAGATCCTTCCTCAGAGGAATGGGCCAGGGAGGGACTGTCACAAGGAGCATGAGTTCTGGGAACCAGGTCTGAGTGGGCCAGTAGAGAGCCACCAGAAGGACCTGCTCCTTGTCCTCCCTGACTTTGCACAGTGTCTGTGCAAGTAGGCTCACTGGGGGAAACGCATATTTGCGAAGGCCCCGTGGCCAGCTGTGTGCCAGTGCGTCCGTGCCGAGTGTTCCCTCGGTCAGGGAGTAAAACAGCTGGCAGTGGGAGGTGATGCCACGCCCATCTCGGGACTCGGCCGTGAAGCCAGTGCTGAAGCGGTCTCATATGAAGCAAGCCGAGCGAGATTACCGCTGCTGCTGCTGCCATATGCCCCAGGAGCCTCTGAAAGAATTTCAGTGGGACCGCCGTCCTGCCCTTGAACGTGTTCAAGCAGTCCAGCACCGACTGAGCGCGCTGCTCTGTGAGGCGCGCTGTTTGTGTGACCGAGTCCAACTCCATACCGAAAAAAGAGATCCTCTGCACGGGGCGAGTTTGCTCTTCTTCCAGTTGACCCGAAGACCCAACTGGCTGAGGTGCCTGAGCACAGGGTCCCTGTGATCGCATAACTGATCTCGAGAGTGTGCTAGTATGAGCCAGTCGTCGAGATAGTTGAGGATGCGAACACCCTGTTCTCTCAAGGGAACAAGGGCCCCCTCAACGACTTTCGTGAAGACACAGGGGGACAGGGACAGCCCGAAGGGTAGGACCTTGTACTGATATGCTCGACCCTCGAACGCAAAGTGCAGAAACGGCCTGTGTCGAGGAAGAATCGAGACATGAAAGTACGCGTCCTTCAGGTCGATCACTGCAAACCAATCTCGGGGACGGATGCATTCGAAGATGCGTTTGTGCATGAGCATTTTGAACGGTAGTTTGTGGAGGCTCCGATTCAAAACTCGCTGGTCCAAGATCGGTCGTAACCCACCACCTTTCTTGGGTACAATGAAGTAGGGACTGTAGTGCCCTGAATTCATATCGGCTGGAGGGAGCGGCTCTATCGCGTCCTTCGCCAGTAGGACTGCGATCTCCGCACACAAGACATGGGCATCGGCTGCTCTCACTGTAGTGGAGTGGATGGCCCGAAACTTGGGGGGACGCCGGGCGAACTGAATTGCATAGCCGAGCCTGATGGTCCGGATGAGCCAGTGAGATGGACTGGGGAGCGCTAACCAGGCTCTAAGAGACCGTACAAGCGGGACCAAGGGGACCGTAGGCGTACCCGGAGTGGGGCAGCGAAGTGGAACACAGGGACCTAGCTGGGGGGGCTCTCTCTGGGAGGCAGCCCCCAGCGGGGTCTGAGTGTGCTGTAAAGCACTTACCCGGTTCCACTGGGCAGGAGGTGCGGGAGGTGCAGGAGGCGGCTCGGCAACGTTCTCGGACCGTACACTGCTGCCAGCTGGCGATAGAAGAGGATGAGAGTGGTAAGGTTTTTGTCCCCCCACTGCTCTCCGAGTCCTCTTCGGACCCAGAGATGGTAGAAACTGCTCTTTTATAGAAAATTTGGGTACCCCTGGCTCTGGGGCCAGCGGCGGAACAAAACAAAACAAAAGATTTTCCACCCGGCCCTCTTCCGGGGGAGGGAGCGATGCGGCCATCGTCTCCTGGAGAGCAGTCCCCGCTATCTCTGAGTTGCCCATCCAAGGGCCGTTTGGTGTTGGCTTTGCCGCCCCTCTTGGTGGGGGCCTGGATGGGCGGGGCATTCTGCCTGCGACTGGCTCCGCGGAGCCGCTTCGGTGGAGGCTGCTTCTGCTTCTGTACAGCTGAGAACTGCTGGGCAAAGTTCTCGACCGCGTCGCTGAAGAGGCCGGTCTGGGACACGGAGGTATTGAGGAACCGGAGCTTGTCGGTCTCCCGCATGTCAGCAAGACACAGCCAGAGATGGTGTTCCTGGCCCGCCATTGTGGACATCGTACAGTCCACTGAGCGAGCGGTAACCTTCGTCGCATGAAGCGTGAGGTCCGTCGCCCGCCGGTGTTCTTGGAACACCAGTGGGTCGTGACCACCCTCGTCCAGTTCCTTCAGTGCCTTGGCCTGATGGACCTGGAGCAACGCCAAAGCGTGCACGGCAGCTTCCCCACAGGCCTTGTAAGCCTTTCCGGTTAAATCCGACGAATACTTACAGGCCCGGGAAGGAAGACACGGTTCTCCGCGGCAAGTGGAGTTAGGGATGCGGCGGGATGCACGTGTAACCCTTAGCTGCGCCGCCGTCAAGGGTGGTGAGGGAGGAGGAACCACTGGAACGGTTTTGGGCAGTAAATGGTGCCGTCCACGTCCTAGTGAGCTCCTCATGCACCTCCGGGAAGAATGGCACTGGGGTGGGTTGCTGAGAACCAGCGCGAGATACCAATCATCCAACCTCGAGGGTTCGGGACACGGTGGAGGGTTCCACACGAGCCCGACCCTCTCGGCGGCCCGGGAAAGCATGGCCATCATCTCCGGGTCCGTATCGGGCACCGCCGGCACCCCCGAAGGAGGCAGCAGCTCCGACACGCCGTCCGCGGAAATATCTGATAGTACTCTAGCGAGATTCCTATAGGTTAGTCTGACCTACAATGTAGTGACTGACCAATAGGGAACAATGCTCAGCCAAATATCATGGTGTGAAAATTACCCTGCTGAAAAAAACAATAGAAACCATTACAGAATTCCTAATGGTTTTAATGGTTATAAAGGGAAATGTATTTAATGGAAACTGTAATGGTCCTAGGTCTCTATTGGTAATTTGCTTTCTTCTATTGGTGGCATGTTTTGTCTTTTTCTCTGTATTGGTTTTAATTGAAACTGTGATGGTCCTAGTAAGTCTCTATTGGTAATTTCCTTTCTTTTATTGGTGGTATATGTTTTCTATTGGATACCATTAAGGACCAATAGAACACCTTTGAAAATTATAGGTTACATGATGGTATCTACTGGACATCATTATGAACCATTAGGACTCCAATAAATTTAATGTTTCCTTTGGTTTGATAATAATGATTTAATGTAGGCTACACATGATGAATAGGCTAGATACAGTTTTTAAAAACTGGTCATAGCCATTGGTCAAAACATTGGTCCCATGTGATTTCAGGTTTAACAGCTCTTGTCGGGAGTGATCAGGTCAAAACCTGACCCACACACATAGGTTGTCCTAACCATTAAATAGATTCAAATCAAGACCAATACAAATTTGTAATGGAAACCATTAAATATGTTCAAATCATGACTAATACAAATTTGTAATGGAAACCATTAAATATGTTCAAATCATGACCAATACAAATTTGTAATGGAAACCATTAAATATGTTCAAATCATGACCAATACAAATTTGTAATACAAATACCATTTCTGTAATGGTTTCTATTGTTTTTTTTCAACAGGGATTCTGATATAACAAATACATATCCAACAGATATTTTTCTTTATTTTATCTTATAAAGTAAAGGTGAAAAAGATGTACTATTAAATGTATTCAAAATATATATTTGTTTTGTATTAAAGGAACACAAAACTATTTATAGAAAGGAACATACAATACCTTTTTCCCCCATATTAACGCCAGACTGATTTACGCGAACGTAACGCCTGGTCCCACCATGAGGCCTGGCCCCATCGGTCAGCCCTGTTAAAACAGTGTAAGATTGTAAGATTTTTTAATGTTTTTGAAATAAGTCTTTTATACTTAGTTTTACGAACATTTTTGGTCAACCTTATACCCACTATTTAGCAGAACAATAACAGAAATAAAACACAATGCAAAGTTCTCTTCCCACATGAATACAGCACTTCTATCACTCATTCCTAAACCTAACAAAGACCACACCTTCACATCCAACTATCGTCCTATCTCACTTATAAATGTCGACATAAAATTATTAGCAAAGCTTTAGCCCATAGAATTGAACAAATTATACCGTATATAATCCATCCTGATCAGACCGGCTTCATAAAAGGTAGACATGCATCTAATAATACCCGCAGATTATACAATTTAATGCACTACTCATCAACACAACAGAAAGATACTCTCATTGCCACATTAGACGCCGAAAAAGCTTTTGATAGGGTCAACTGGAAATTTTTATTCACCACGTTACAAAAATTCGGCTTTGGAGAGTCATTTATTAACTGGATCAAGATTTTATACACATCACCATCAGCCACAGTCACAATGAACGGACTAACATCACAAAGTTTCACACTGCACAGGGGGACGAGGCAGGGATGTCCACTCTCTCCATCCCTATTCACGATTTTTATTGAACCTTTAGCAGCAGCTATCCGTCAAAACCCAGCAATCAAAGGTATTGAAACACCACAACAAACACATAAAATCTCACTCTATGCAGATGATATCCTACTATATATACAAGAACCCCTAACATCTACTCAAGAAATAATTAAAACAATCCAGTCCTTCTCAAAAATTTCCGATTATGCAATAAACTGGAATAAATCTTCCATCCTCCCTTCACATAAAACCAAATGGGATGTGGCACCCCATCAATCACCCATACCTATATGTCATGATCACATCACTTACTTAGGCATTAAGATTTCCTCTAGACTGTCAGAGTTGGTAACAATCAACTTCACACCACTGCTAAAAAAATAGAAGACGATTTGCTCAGGTGGCTCAACCTCCCAATCTCCATAATCATAGCAGCAATAAAAATGACGATTTTACCGAAAATTAATTACCTATTCTCAATGATTCCAACCCACCCCACACTCACTTGGTTTAAATCACTAGACTCCATTATAACTCGCTTCTACTGGAAAAATAAAACGCCAAGGATAAAACTCACTAAACTACAAAAGAGTAAGGTTCAAGGAGGACTAGAAGCACCAAATTTCCAATATTACTCAATGGCTAACCAACTGCAATACATATACAAATGGATTCACCCCACCCAATCTGATATTATATGGCTAGATATAGAACAATCACTATGCAAAGATTTAAATATAGCTGACATACCGTTCCTCACCAAATCAATCAAACAACACACATGTTTTAATGCAGTAACTAGCCACCACTCTGACAGCCTGGTGGAAATTTCACCAAATCACAAACTCTACAGTAGCTCCATCTAACCTCACTCCACTATGGAACAACCATGACTTTATAAGCAATAAAAATCCATTGAATTTTCACACATGGGCGGAAAGTGGCATCACCCACATTAAGCATATTTTCAAATCCAACACATTTAAACCATTTCCACAACTGGCCCAGGAGTATGGCATCGGGAACAACAAATTCTTAAAATACCTACAACTCAAATCCTCTGTTCTGACAAATATAAACATCAGAGATTCATCAGAATTTAGAACTTCCACCGGTAATATCAGACTTGGTCAACATTTCCTCTCCAAA